GTTAGCACCGCCATTGTTGCTTCCGTTAGCACCAGCATTGTTGGCTCCGTTAGCACCGCCATTGTTGCCTCCGTTAGCACCGCCATTGTTGCTTCCGTTAGCACCAGCATTGTTGGCTCCGTTAGCACCAGCCATTGTTGCCTCCGTTAGCACCGCCGTTGTTGCTTCCGTTAGCACCGCCATTGTTGCTTCCGTTAGCACCAGCATTGTTGCCTCCGTTAGCACCGGGGCTAACATCCTGGCAAAGAAGAGCCTGGCCCGCAACTGGGATGACGCAGCACTTGGCTTGCTGACCCGTAGCCGCGCATCCGCTGATGAGTTGATTCGTGCTAGTGGGAGTGGTGGCCGCTACAACGATCAATCAGTGTCGTGCGATTAAAGCCGGGTGATGGTAGAGAGGAGAGAGACTTACGAGCTTTGCAGTTCAAGGCGGCGGCACCAAGGATATCAGTGGCACAGCATTGAGGGGTGCTGTATAGCCCAGGGGGGCAGACTGCAGAAGGATAACCGGTGAGGGGAGCGGCAGTGGCGCCGATAGCGAAGGCGAGGATAGTATAACGCATGTTGATTTTTTAGAAAGGTTCAAAGTGTTTTTTTTAGAAAGTTTCAAAGTAGTTTTTTTTAGAAAAGGTCTTAAGCGAGTGTGAATAAAGCGAAGGTAGGATGCTGGAGCTGATGATGATTCAACTGGTAGTGCAGGTTGTGGCCTCCATTTATACCTTTCATCAGCTGGAGTACTCGTGTTCCTTTCTGGTGCACTGATCAGGCCACGCGGTCTCTCTGATCAACCTTTCCAAGTTTTGATTACGTCTGTTTTCGTCCATGGAGCATTGTATGTGCACAGTACGTCGTCTAGATGCAACATGGCGGGCGCAACTTCAACTTCACAAGGTCCACCCTTGTGCGTCTCCTTGCTCCAGAGCTTACGCAGAACAACTAAGAGGCGTTGGGATCGCAAATACATTATTGGTGAGCTCCCGATAACACGTATAAGGAGACGGTGATCGTCGCGTATCCTATTGGGCTGTGGAGTTCTCAATCCAGCCGTAGAGTAGTCATTAGGGTCTCCTTGGGTTACACAACTTGCAGACACGAGACACATATATCCTCTCTCGAAACTCAACTTTCAGGACATACTGTACTGCTTAAGCCTGTTTCCGGGCCAACACGGACACGAGGCTTGAGCTGTCTTTGTGGATAGTGCAACCATCTCTGCGAGCACTTGTCGTCAGTAGCGCCTTGTCAGCAACGGAGAGAAGAAGGTTTGGGAAATGTTTAAAGCCGGGCAGGCATTAAAGAGAGAGCAAAACGAAATATTGGCTTGGGGGATTGCACCACGAATCAGCTATCAGCAGCCTGAAGTTACTTTGCACGTCGGCTGGTCGCGCCAGATACGGTTGGGGAACGAGAACCCGCATTGGGAACACAACCAAGCAATCTCAACTGAGGATCCAATCTGAGAACACTCAAAACGACCGGGTATGGGAGCAACCCTGTCAGGAACCGTTATGTGTGCGGTTGTCAAGCGCATGCTCGGTAGTCTACTGTGTTTATACGCCACTAGTAAGGGGTAACCCAGACTGGGGTAGCGAGTAAGAGCTATACTATAAATAGTGTAGCTTCCACCGTTGAGATTGTCTAGAACGGTCTGGTATTTCTCTGTATTAAGTTAGGGATAGAGTCATCCGAAAAAGAGCCTGATCATTATTTGAGCGTCTCTACAACACAATCCTTTTACCTGTGAGCACAGTAAGCCGCTGAGCCTCGCCAACGTCTGGTGATCATGTACCTCGGATAACATACAGGAACCGTACTACAATGTTGTCACTGTGCTTGACGTCGGCAAACATGGCTGTTGTGCACCGCCACCGCACTGAAACAACTGGGTGCATTGGCGATATACACATCACTCAGTGAATGGATGATCTGCAGCCGGGACAGCCGGCTAGTGTCGCTTTACCGTGGCGACGGTAAGTATGCGACAGCGTATATTCTGAGGCAATTGATTGGTAAGTAAATCCAAGTAATGCAGGATATACAGCATATACATCCTGCTGACATGAGAATCGAGGATATCTCGATGCCGATCGTGACCTGGAGGTGGCTGTCAAGAGTTTCAGCTGACAAGGTTAAAAGTCGTTGCCGGCAGGGGATTTATCGTACTGGTGTAATACCGCCATTACAAAGCTTGATCCCCACCTTTCTCTCTTTTATTCTTTTTAAAATAGTTTCTTGAATACTGTATATGATACTAAGTATTAGGTATACTCTCAGAATTTATCTCACACAGATCAATTCTCTTAGAGTTACAGTTGGAGTTTGGGCTTCTTGTCTTTGGGTAGAGAATATTGGGCCAACAGAGATAACGCTAGCAAGAACTTCTAGCCGCTACCTCCGTATAGGCTGAAACTTTTGACAGCCACCTCTGTTCTGAAGTTACATCGCGGGGAAAAGCATAACAGTGTCGTGTGAGATAGTTCTCCCTTGTTTAGCGCCTTGGATCCGTATGTAAGGACTTTGCTTAGCTCAATCCTGTGCTTTCCTGGCGTGGACTCCTGAGGTTTAATTGCACCTTCACCATTGCGTACATGATGCAGATTGTATTGAATTCTTTTGAGTAATTATGGGCTTGTTGCTGGGAATTATTCATGCGTCATTACTTTGTGTTGTTACCATGTTCTTTGCGAGGGGCTGTTCAGGTGCTCAGAAGAAATTTCGGCCCCCTAAGATCATTGTGATCTTCGGCTGCTCCGCAATCTACTGACCAAGGCACCAGCTACCAACAGTCCCACCAACACTCCACTCTGCGCCGGAGCAAATATAGCAGATCGTACAATAACCAAGGTACCCACAGTCACAAATGTGACCGGAAGAATGGTAGTTGGACGGTAAGGTCGCTCAAGTTGTGGCTCTCGACGGCGGAGTATAAGGAGTCCGACCACAGTACTGACATAGAAAACCCATTCGGCCATGCCAACGAACGTTAGTAGTTCCCGAAAACTACCTGTCAGTATGTATATTAGGGTTACCACAAGAGCCAACCCGTTGGCATATCTGTGGTTTGTATTAGTAGGCCTCAGCGTAGAATAAATTACCAGGAGATCTTACATTGGAGCATCGAATCTGGATGACGAAGTGTCATCTCCGTCAGCTCTTTGCTTCAGTGGCATGCCCCTTTGGCTGAAGAATGCTGGAAGGTAATGGCGCTGTGATGCAGCCATGGTTAATCTGCCCACTGAGAACACGTTGCTGGTGATTGATCCCGCACAAGAAATAGCAACGAGGAGAGTAATAATGATGCCAGCAGGTCTCCCAAACAGAGCTGTTCCAGCGGCGACTGCAACCGCGTTGTTGCTACTCAGCTTGTCCCAAGGCACGAGGATGTAGTACGCGATATTGACCAGCTCAAAGGAAGTAAGAACTACGATCATTGCTGCTTTGATTGCCTTTGGGAGAGCACGGCCTGGGTCGCGAATCTCGCTCGCCACGATATTGGCCTAAAGTCGTCGTCAGCCAGCCAAACGCGTGTACAGCTTGTGCAAACTTACATTGTCCCACCCGTCATAAGCCCACAATCCACCGTAAATGGCTGCGCAGTAATGACCATAGCGGTCCCAGGCGCCCATAGACAACCAGTCAAGAACTTGGCCGTCCGACGTAGTTGGTCTCGGTTGAAACCAACTCTTTGAGTACCAGTCGCTAGAACCAGAAAGATGAGATTCCGGGTTCACCAAGTGGGCAATAACTGCAGTAAGCCCGCCGAGAACTATCAAGCTGACTGTTGATAGCTTGAAGACTGTAAAGGATTCGCTCAATCTCATCGTGAATTTGGTGTTGATGGAGTTGAGCAACACCATAGCGACAAAAACAATGACAGCAATGAGCTTGAGTAATCCAGCATCTGGTAAATTGTCTGAGCTGGTTGTGACTGAACTAATAGACTCCGCGATAACGATACTTTGAATGGCCATAGATGAGGGCTTCACGCCTAGGATATACACCCAAGCCATAAGGAACGCCGCGGTGTCTCCGTAAACGTGGCGTAAATATTCCTGCATGCCGCCATTGAGCGGTAAAGCAGCACCTAGTTCTGCGAAAGATGCAGCTCCTGCCCATGAGAGCAGCCCACCAAGTACCCAGACCAAGAGGGCAACACCTGGAGAAGGTACATTGCTGTCGACTTGTGCCGGTGACGCAAATACGCCTGAACCTATTTGCAGAGTAACAAGGACAGTAAATGCGTGGCGTGTGGTGAGCTGTTTGGGTAACTGGGTCACTCGTGGGGCGGATGGAGCTGCATCTTGTCGTCCAAGTAACAGGTCAGATTCAGTAGCGTTTGGCTTGTGCGGCTCTTCAGAATGGTTAATACTGTGTGTGTCGTCCATCACGAAGTGTCCAGCTACTGAAGAGATGGAGGTGGCTTGGAGATATAGCCCGCACTGCGTCACCTAATACTGGTTTTTGACCAAGGTTCACGGCCGTTCTTGCAACCAATCTTTAGTCATTTCCGATTGGCCCCGCACGCTAGCGAAAGATCTATCATGACCTTTCTCATCGAGCATAGCTCCTTACTAGGTTTCTTGGGCAGCTGACTGCTTCTTTTCTTAGAATGTGAAAAAATGGTACTCGGCTGACATCTCCTTTTCTTGAGTGAGTACAGAAAAATAGCTGCGTTGACTCGTCAACTAGGGGTACTTTTTGTGCTCTAGATTTAGAAGCAACGCTAACCCAGTTTGGGAGATAGTTTGGTGAGACGGAACATCAATTGTTTCTATGACAAAGGTTGTGAAGGTCACGGCTAATGGGAGAATTGCACAATAGGTGAACAAGGTTCAGGTATCGGTTGATTCTGGAATCTTGAATGTGGCGGTCTGTTTCGTTGCCCCGCCCTCCTCCCAATTGTTGAATATAATGTATATCGATGAACGCAATAAGGTGGGGCGGCATTATACTCTTGAGCCGTTCAGTATAGGGAGAGACCAAAGGGCTTGGTCAAATTGCACCAAGTTGAGCCGCAATATCAGAGTTGTACTCCCAACAGCAAAAATCAAACTAAGATACCAACAGCACTCAGCAAAAGCGGGGGTAGTATTGTACAAACCCTGTAGTTGTGGCATTACTCCAATCTTTGTAACACACTATGATCGATGTCATAATATCTTCTCTAGGAGGTATTGTAGTCTATGAGAGGCAGTTGTTATTGTGATAGCCAACCATTTCTGGTTTAACTTGTAGTGAATCATCTCCATGAATGTGGCGGTGTGAGCCACAAATCTGCAATGCCAAATTCAGAGTCTGCACTGCTACGTATGGCATAACAAGAACGCAGCCTATTCTACCTATGACGTAAAAGAACACAGTAAACTAACCATGATACCTACCTTGGCGCGAAAATCTATGGCCGCAAAATGTATCTCGATGGTCGTTGCGTCGAACACTGGAGCTGTGGCTGTGGTGGCTGAAAAGCTCGGTCCTCCTCTCTCGAGTGCCTGCCCAGATGCCCTGACACCCCTCTTCGCTTCCTCGCCAACACCAGGTACGTCAACACCACGCCCGCGCCCAACTCCCACCGCGCACTCACAAACTTACACTCCTCAGACACACATTCACCCACCCGACATGGACGCAAATCAGAATGACGAGCTCTACCCCATCGCCGTGCTCATCGATGAGCTCAAGCACGACGACGTTATTCTCCGCCTGAATGCAATTCATCGCTTAAACACGATTGCACTCGCCCTGGGTGCTGAGCGAACACGTGAGGAGTTGATACCCTTTCTAGATGGTGAGAAACTCGTTGAATGACCCTGGATGCGCTGTAAGCGGCTAACACGTGCCTGTAGAGTCCGTCGAAGACGAAGACGAGGTTCTCACAGCATTGAGCGAGGAGCTGGGAAAGTTTGTCGAATATGTGGGAGGCCCAGAACACGCACATGTGCTCCTCTCACCACTCGAAAACCTTGCAGCTATAGAGGAGCCCCTTGTCCGAGAGAAGGTGCGCGCACTCGTTTCTAACAGCCTGGGGTACAGCTAACGCGCACAGGCTGTCGAGTCCCTTAACAAGATCTGCGAGGAGCTCTCGCAGCAGCAGATTGAAGAAAACTTCATTCCTCTTGTCCTGCGCCTATCGAAAGCCGATTGGTTCACCTCCAAAATCTCCGCCACAGGTCTCTACCAGACCCCCTACTCCCGCGCCACACCCCCGTCACAAGAGGCCCTCAGGCAACACTACGGCCAGCTAGTACATGATGACACTCCCATGGTACGAAGGCAGGCGGCGAACAACCTGGCTAAATTCATCAAGGCCATGCCGCCATCCATTGTCATCGATGAGATGATCCCGCTTTTCCAGCACCTTGCCGCAGACGACCAGGACAGTGTCAGGCTGTTGACTGTTGACATTCTCATTGCCATCGCCGAAGCAGTACCCAAGGAGCAACAGTCGAGCCATGGGGTTTTGTTGACTGCGCTGCGCAGTTTGTTCGAGGACAAGAGCTGGAGGGTGCGGTACATGGTGGCAGACCGATTCGAGAAGGTGCGTTTCAGGTGGACATCAGGCAAGGCATGCGCTAACGGTATTAGATCGCAAAAGCAGTGGATGAGGAGGTCGTCAACCGAGACCTTGTGCCAGCATTCGTTAAGCTCCTCAAGGATACTGAGGCGGAGGTCCGTAGCGCGATTGCTGGTCAGATTCCAGGTAGGTGGTCACGGAACGATATTGTATGACAAAGGCTGAACATGGTAGGCTTCTGCGCACTCCTTGAGCGTGAGACCCTCCTACACGAGGTCATGCCCAGCATAGAGGAGCTGGTCTCCGATCAATCGCAGCATGTCCGCGCCGCGCTTGGCACTCAGATTAGTGGGCTGGCACCTATTCTTGGAAAGGAGGAGTAAGTTGGGCACTGACGCGTGACCACGTGCTGCAGTACTGACTCTGACTAGGACCATCTCACATCTCCTCCCCATGTTCCTGCAGATGCTCAAGGACGAGTTCCCCGACGTGCGACTGAACATTATCTCCAAGCTCGAGTCTGTCAACAACGTCATCGGCATTGAGCTTCTCTCGCAGTCTCTCCTTCCAGCCATCGTACAACTTGCCGAAGATAAGCAATGGCGCGTGCGTCTTGCTATCATCGAATACGTTCCTCTCCTCGCGTCCCAACTCGGTGTTCAGTTCTTCGACGAGAAGCTTAGCAGTTTGTGCATGAGCTGGCTTGGAGATACTGTCTTCTCGATCCGTGAGGCATCGACTCAGAATCTGAAGAAGCTCACCGAGGTCTTTGGCGTAGGGTGGGCCAACGATGCCATTGTTCCCAAGGTCATGGCCATGGGACAACACCCCAACTACCTGTACCGTATGACGACGTGCTTTGCAGTATCGACTCTTGCACCTGCTCTCAGCCTTGACGTCATTGAACAATCCATTATTCCCATGATGGATAAACTTGTCAACGATGACATTCCCAACATCCGGTTCAACGTGGCCAAATCGTATGGCCAACTGATCAACACACTCAAACAGCTTCCAGAGCAGGGTACGGTGATTGCTCTTGAGAAGGCAGGCACACCGGGTCAGGGATGTCAAAAGGCAACGGACGTCATCACGAAGAGCATTTTGCCCAACCTAGAGAAGCTACAGCAAGATGATGATGTGGACGTGCGATACTTTGCGACGACGGCAGCCCAAAGCTTCACCGAGGCAATGCAGACTTAGAGGGTCCAATTGCGTCCGTGTTGTTGAGCGCGGAGAATGACATGATGATTAGCATGTATGGGTAATGACGTAGAGTGCGAGTGAAAGTGAGAGTTTGGAGAGGAGCAATGTATGACGAATCCCTCGAGGTTTTGGTTGGAAGCTGTACCCAAACTCGGTGGGCTAGTGTTTGGTTCATGAGCATGACCACAAGATAACCCCTGTTAGATTTACCATGGGCAAGTTTATTTTCAAATGCATTACTTTGGCGTTAATGAAGTGCTCACATGGCAAGATATTCGGCAAGTGCAGTTGCTAATGTATTTTATTGCTTGCAGAGTGTTGCGAGACTAAGTACGGGAATCATGTTTGCAGTGTCGCAGGACGCTTATAGAGCACCAGCATCCTTGAGCAGGGTGTTGAGCTCGCCTTTCTTGGCCTGCAAATCGCTGTTTCCACCAATGTGCTGCTGGGCGATGAAGATGTTGGGGACGGTCCTCTGGCCAGTAATGTCGGCGAGCACAGACTGGATTGCCGAACCGTCGTCTATGGAAAAAGGGTCAGTTATCGTTCGGTTGTGTCAATAAGAAAGGTGTATGTACGTACCGACTTGGTCGAGCTCGATGGCGTAGAACTTTGCGCCGCTGGCGCTTAGCAGCTGCTTAGCATCATTGCAGTATGGACAGTAGGACTTTGAGAAGACGGCGACGGGGTTCTCATCGATGATGGACTGGACCTTGGTCTTTGTGGCGGACATGGTTGTGGGTGAGGGGGCGCGCGTGAAGAAGTGGCGCAGGAACGAAATTTTGGCGGTTGTAGGGTCTGGTTATGTGTATAAGTGGTTTGTATGATGAAGTCTGTGTGGAAGGAAGACGTACTCAAATAGCCAGAGGCGTTGTGGAGATTGGTAAGAGAAAGAGTATGTGCAATAGATCTGTTTGAAGTGTAGATGTACTATGTACGTCCAAGTGGATTAGTGATGCGCCCCCGCCGAATAGACAGCTTGACAGTGGATGATGCAATCGCTCATCCAGATTCGCTGCCAATTAGCGTCGGAGATGGACCGGCGATTGATTACCAAAGCAGATATATATGGCCCGTGCACCTAGCCATCGCCGTCGTCATGGCGCATAGGGCTGAGGCTATGCGGACAAAGGGCCAAGGCTTGACTAAGGGCTTTTGGACGTTTGACCAAGGAAAGAATAAGAAGTGGAATGGGTAGTATCGTCTTGCTTGGGATAGATGAAAGGCTGCAGTAAGAGGTGCACCGGGTCACGCAACTTCCGCATTCCGACGCGAGACTGAGCATTCCGAAGCTTCCTAGTACGCTTGCTCCTGCCCGTAACAACCGTCGAACCATCTTTCGCCATCCAGGCATTCAAGCACCAACCCAACAATCTCCCTTCATCACCACACACGCCCATCATCGCCTCTCTTATGCGTACTTGCGACCGCGCGCTACCATGACGTCTTCAGCGTCCGGCTCTATTGCCTTCTTCGTCCTTTCATTACTCTCTATATGCGGTCTTGTCCTTCTGCTGCTACGCTACTATCTCCCGCTTCGCACGACACCCGCATACGTCGTCTTACCCGTGTTCCTAGCGATAGCTCTTCCAGCCAGCATCATAATTCTGCTTCCCATCGATCTTGCAAGCAGTGCTGGACTCGATACAACTGACGGCGCAAGGGGGATATGGCTAAATGACACGGTTGTGTACAAGACATGGCGCGTCATCTACTGGCTCACGTTCGCCCTCACATGGGCTATACTGCCTATGCTCGGCGAATATTGCGACAGCGGATACAGGGAGCCCAAAGCCAGACTGCAGTATGCGCTTCGAAGTAACGGACGATACTGGCTCATCCTACTGGCATGCAGCGTTGTCGGCTCCGTCTATCTGATATGGTGGAACGGCTTCGAGGCCGACACCTTCAAGAGTTTAGTCATGGCGCTTGCCTATACTTGGGGTCTTATTTTAGGCATCTACCTCATGGGCCACGGGCTTGTCGCGTTCCCACGGAGTTTGTTTCGGTACGCGAGTGTTAGCGAACGATTAAAGAGAATACAGGGCCAGGCACCCAAAGTCCATGAAAGACTGACCGAGGCGTTGGAGAAGTTAGATCAGTACGAATTCCAGGTTGTGCAACTCAAGCAGAGGAAAAACGGTATTCCAAAGGAATTTCAAGAATGGATTGACGAAATAGCGGAGAGGAGCAGCCTGCCGGAAAGTCGGGCGGGTGTCCTTGGACGCGGAAATACAACAACGATTCCACCAGTCATCACGGAACGATACCTTGCAGAGCTGACGAGGAAGCTGAAGCGCGCACGACACGCAAAATGTCGCTTTGAGAACGAATGGGACCACATTGTACGGAAAGCCGTCCGGACACAAGCAATCCTCGACTCCAAGGCCAGCAAACATCTCGAGTTCAAGGGTGCAGCCAGACTGTCTCATACAGGCCTATTTGATCGCTTTACGCTTCTCACTCCCTTCACACGGTACCACCTCCACGCTCATATCATTCCTGCATTAACATACATGTCATGGGCTACGGCAATTCTAGCCTCCATCTCCATTGTCTGGTCAGAATGCGTTCGCGAAGCCCAGGATTTTGGTGGTCCCAAACTTTCTATCATCGGTTGGACAGTCGTCCATCGTCATGACAGCGGTCGCTCATCCGTTGGTTTCAACAGCCAGGTTATTGCTGCAGCTTGGCTATGCTATATGTGCATTTGCGCCTTCTACAGCCTTACTGAAGTCAAGATTTGGGGCAACAGAGCGCTCGTACGACGCAATACCTACCAGGAGAGTGCGACATGGTATGGTCTTCAGGTTGCGAAATTGACCGTTCCTCTGAGCTACAACTTCTTGACGATGACGGACAAGAACATTTGGAAAGGCACCATGTTCTACAAATTCCTTGGTCGGCTCATCGTCTTGACTCCACTCGGCGAAGGATTCAGCGCTTTCTTTCCCATCTTTATCCTCGTCCCGGTCTTTGCAACCGCGTTTGGTCTTTACGGCAAAGTGAAGAACATCTGCGGCTTTGGTGATCTTTTGGACGACGAAGAAGATGGAGCAGCAGGCACTGGTTCTTGGCGTGAAGGCCGCGCGTTAATCGCACGTGAAGTACAGGGTGCCAGCGGAAATGTCCTGGGTCTTTCTCAACGCACAACATCGCCGCCAAATGAACGTTACACAGACACGCCAACACCCGCATCATCCAGTCGTACTGCTTCAGCAGCAGCTACCAACGGTCCAAGTAGTATCACACAATCTCCAGGAGTCCGATCTGAGCAAAGGCGGCCTTTGCTAGACGACGACGAAGGCGAAGGAAACTTTTTCGAGAACTTTGCCTCCAGGGTCAAGAACACATTCGAGACTAACGACTTTTCCTTTACTCGGCCCAAGTGGCTTGGTGGCGAAGACGAAGTCGAAGCTGGACACAGTAGAAGACAGGCAGAGAGAGGTGAGAGCGATCGTACAAATGGGTTTCTGAGCTTGTTTGGTGGGAGGTCTGAGGAAGGGAGATTGAGATTGTAATTTTAGGTCCTACCTGGGTAATGGCGTTTGTTAAAGGCCTTAGATTTTAGATATTATTTGGATAGGTTGGACTTTGGAAGCATGCATAGCGACAGGCGAGGTATTACCACTACTACTTTGTAATACTGGGGAGTAGGTATTCTTGGAAAGCACGTTACCTTTGGCACTTTTTTTTATTTTACGGGCTGATGTCAGCGACGTCGACCATGAGCTAGTTTTACTGTTTCAATTTAACTCTACCGAAAGTTTCTGGTCTTAGTTCCATGCTTGTGCGTGCTGAGGCTGCATTCAATAGCGGGCTGCGCCTTCTACCACGGTCGGCATTGGTGAGGTCGAGGCGTCAGCTCAAGGATGTTCGTCCTCATGCTGAGGTCGGAGAAGGTTGAACCACTGAAACCAAACGAGAGTTTAGTGTACATCAAGCAAGAATCAGAATCTATTCGTACTCTAGCCACTCGGAGTTCCTAGAGATACAACGGTCGGGATAGAGCAGTCCCCACAAAAAGTATAGAATTCTACCAGTTATATTACTGAATAGGGAGAGTAATACAGAGTGAGGGCTGAATACCTCTCCATCTTCACTTACGGGCTGCAACGGTACTATTGATATATGTAGTGTGACTAGCGAGTGACAGTTGCTGGTTAATGTCGTCTGTCTCACTGGCAGCCACCAACCCACCCGATGACGTTGGGTTTCAATTGTGAAAAACAAGTACTCCTGATCCAGTATGTTACAAAATGTTCCAAGTACACAGATGTTTAATATACGATGGCCAACAATCTTTTAGTGTCAAAACAGTGTATAAAACACTCTGCACCAGTTGAAAGGGTTCAACCCGCCCCTGTTCATCGCAAACAACGCCAGAGAGTCGGACACCCGCGTTTCGAAACAATGTCCATGCGTAGAGCGGCTGGATTTCATCTTCATGAAAGAAAAGTCTATATACTGTTTACGAGCGAGCGAGCTGTTTATAAACGCCGGAAACTTACATTTACATTATCTTCAAAGTATTTATATATGAATTCACTTTCAGATTTTTCTTTTCACTCAGAACATACTTCGCATTCAAACAACATCCCATCTAAGCAGATATCGACAGCAGATTTCCTTCACAGACAAAACTACCATCCAAACCAACCAAAATATTTCCCACTATTACCAAAGCACTTGGCATTGACGCATCCAAGGCTCATATCCAGATTCAGAATACCATTGCGAATATGGACCAAATGCCTGACGGACTCGACATCCGCAGCTGAAGTCCGCTAAATTTGCGGTGTATTAACTTTGCGAGCATGAGTAGAACGTCATCTCTACTGTACTTAATCGACGTTTGAATTGCTTCGTAAATAGGAAATTCTTTTAATGGATTTTTGACCAGAGTATCTCCATGCGCCTCTGTGATTGGAGAACTTCGGAGGTATGTGATCAGTTTCTTGACAATTTTTAGTTTCCCGAGCTTGATGGCGTTGATCAGGGCGCTTCCAAAAACATCGTGTTGCAATGAAACAGGATGCAGCTCCTGAACCAGCGAACCTACACGACTAGCGCAATAAACAGCAATAGCAGCTGTAATTTTGAAATGAAAATCCAAGCTTCCGTTGAGTACTTTGAACCATGACTCGGTTGGTCGTTTGATAAGGTTCGATGTAGACGTATCTGTGAGGAGAGCGTTCAGGACAGTATCATTTCTGAGCATACAACAAATGCTCTGACAGATCTTAGCAATAATCTCTTTTGATATGTATGTATATTTCGACTGAGGAAGGCCATATCGATCTGCAGAGTCTAGTTGTTATGCCATATAGTTGAAAATATGCCTGATAGCCTTAGGTAGAGATTGATCGAAGTTTCCAGAATTCGCGACCTTGGTCTGTAGAAAGCGCGGCATGAGATGCAGAATTAGAGTGTAGCTTCCTGAAATCCACAATAAAATCGAGATTTGATCGTCCTTGTCTGAAAGAGAGTGAATATTACTGAAGAATGCACTTTGTGGCTGATTTTGAAGAATCTCTCGCTCGATCTCTTCCCTAAAGAGATCTATAACAATCAATCATGTTCAAGGGCAATTCGTGACAAACTTACTGCAACCCCCCCGTAGCTTCCATGATGAGGGAATCCCAGCACTGGATACAAGGTACCGAAAGATTGCGGCTTTTATCTTATCTGGTAGACCTGGGAAATCCATAATAGCAGTTCAAGTGATAGAAAGTCGGACTTGACGCAGAAGTGCGTTGTAGCCTCAAGGGCCCGAGAGAGCTTAGTTGGCGAAATCACTACTCAGTGCAGCCAGTGTTTTAAGTAGCACATGTACTCGTAGTGCTAAATCCACTACCACCTTCCAATGTACCATGGTTTTCAGGCAGGGATCTAAGCTAGTCAAAATCGCTATCTTGGGTAGTGGTGGCTCTCCCCTGATATTCCCCAATCATCGTTTTGGTGTATTCACCATTATAATTATAGTAAAGCTTTCAATTGGCTAAGTTATCGGCTTGTCCAATCGACTGCGCTTCAATCAATGTTCGATATTGGCCATCGGAAAGCCTGTAATAAAGATTAATGCGTAATTTAGAAAATCAAATGATGTCATCGCATCTGTATTTAGGCAGCAAACAGAACAAGTAGCAAATCGATGCGATTTTGTTCAGACTCATATCGATAGCGATATATCGCATGCTGAGGGCAAGGTATGATATGGGGCGCTTTGTTATTGGTAGACAACGACACCAGTGACGTTGCCTCAAGCTTCTTGAAAAGTTGCCGGCACACAATAAGAGTAATATTGCATATTCTTGTATTGAAAGAAGGCCAAGCGCTCGAATATTCTCTTGATTGGTTGCTTCAAATTTGGTGCATGCCTGTCTTTCCATAACATAAGAGTAGATAGTGTTAGAATGCTGGAGAGTCAAGCTAAATAACCTGCCGTGATTGGCTCAGTGGATCCGTGCGTTGCTGACGTAACACAAGCTCATCCAAGTCCGTCTACATCTGCGCATTGCGACCTACGACCCCCACTTAAACACCGCGACAATGGCTTCTGGATACGGACTTGCTGGTGGTACGTATTGATGCCTTCCATTTGGATATATTTTGGGCGTTTGGGAGGTGGCGGAAGGTTTCAAGGAGCGCAATGGCATCACGAAGAGCGGAACTGGAACGAATGCGAAGAGAGACGACGCCGAACACACGACGCGGATACCGAACCAATGTATACCGAAGGTTGGAGAGACGATGGAAGAGTGTTATGGATAGAAAGAGATTGTGGCCACCGCGCAGACCCGGGACCTGGGCCATCACCCCACGAGTACAACGGATTGAGATCTGGAGATGCTAGAGATGGACGCACGGCACGTACGCAAGCTATGGGACTTTTATACACACATACACCGCCAAGATATCCTCACCCGCAATACGCAAGCCAGGCCGTCAGACTCCCAATACCTGCTTGCTCGTTGGTCGACCTACCTTGAAACCTCCCACCGCCAACCCATTGCAGCTCCCCAATCCCTCCCCAATCTCCCGCCTATACTCTCTCTCCAAAAACCTCCGACATCCAGACTAACAAAACACCCCCTACAGGCCCATCCCGCTGCTTCCCCTTCTGGCAAGAAGTCCTCGCGTGCTACACGACCAACACAAACGCCGAGGACGACTCCGGCAAGGCAAAATGCGCCCCCGTTCTTGAAGACTACTACGAGTGTCTTCACCACAAGAAGGAGGTCTGTACTTCCCTTTCTCCTCCCACACTCAACACTCACATACACACTTGTCTCCAATACCAAAACTTACACATGTTTTGAACAGGCCGCACGCACTCTTGCCCTACAAGCCGCCTACCGCAAGGCCGAAGCCAACATAAAACGCGATGATGCGCCTTCTGCGGGCGAGATAAGGCGCCTGGGTGTTTTGGATGCCCCACTCGAGGAGAAGAATCTTAAGCCGAGCAAATGGTTTCCTCATAAGCAGATCAACTAGATGGGCGGCAGGTGGTGGATAAGGGCAGGTGAAACAATGATATGGGTGTGTGTATGCGTCGTCAGCCTCTGGTCAAGCAGGTATATGAAATACGCAAGAAGTGAAATTTCCAGACATGTTTCGTGTGATTGTGATGATTTCTATATTTTATTGCTCTGCCTATTCCACATCACGCGTCCTCTTCTATAGCGTCAACCCATGCATCACAGATGAGTGACAAGAAAAGAACAACAGCAACACCGGAAAAGGCAGCCGTCAAGGCAAAGATACAAAGATACATATCACCAACAACGATGGATGCTTCTTCTTCTCCGCCTCGCCCTTCTCCATTTTGGTTGAACCCCACAACACTCTCCCCATGTGCACAACGATAACGAATAACGCCATAGCGGAGTAGTCTAGCCAGTCCCCTCCTTATCCTTTTTTCCTGGGGTAACAAAAAACAAAACAAATACCCCTAAGTGGAAAATAATGATGCTAGTCATACAAGATGGGATTCCTCATCTGATCTGGCCCATGCCCTGCACAAGAAGAGAACTTTATACAGGTCGAATCAGAAAAGAGACAATGGAGAGGAAATGAAAAGAACCCGAAGCTAATCAAACAACATGCAAATATCCGGATTTGAGAAAGAAGAAACCAAGCACACACCCTCCAAACCCCGTCAAACGCCCTTTTCATTTTCCATGACAACAGTCCGATATCGATATATCGTGGGTGCTCATACTTGCATGTAATCATTCTCATTCAGGCCGTCTGTGCCTGTCTCTCTCTCCTGTACTCCCACTTCCCTGTTCCTTACATGTTCGCGGGGACGCTTGTGCGCGAAATATGCGGGGGCGGAGGCGGCGGTGTAGCAGTTGATCGACCGCCAAGACTACCCAGGCCATGAGCTTGAGCCATGCTACGATGGAATGAGCCGATCTTTTGGAAACCCCTATTTGGTTGCAATTTGGTCAGTTGATTGGTTCTTTCATTTATAACTAGGAGGGTTATACCACAAATGTGGTAAGACGGAGGTGTGGGACAAGTACGTACTTGGAAAGATCGTAGCTCTCTTCCTCGGGCTCTGCTTCTTCCTCAAAACTCCCCAGACTTGCTCCTCGTACCATTCCGCCGTTGCCTACAATTCCCAGTCCTAATCCATTGACATTACTATTTGACCGTGACCGTTGACTTCCAATCTCGCGCCGGCTGACAGGCCGAGAAACTGTGCGGCTTGGGCTCTCCGGACCAGCATCCTCATCGTCCTCGCCCTTCAATTCACCATCCTGGTCTTGGTCATCTTCAGGCTCGGCACTCCTGCCTGGTAGCACAGGCGGCGAGCTGGGGTGATTGTCATCTTCGTCGTCACCATCCTTGAAATCTGGACGCTGGAGTTTGATTGGACTGAGTTCAAGAGGTCCTTTGGCAGGCGTACTAGGGAGATCGACAAATTTCCAAAAGGGAGCAGGACTGGAAAAGGCCATATATTGGCTGGGCATCTGGGCAGTGCTGGGAGGCGCAAGGCGAGGTGCATGTCTCGTAACCAAAGGTGTGACAAGCGCATTATTCACCCGGCCTGTATCATAGCTACCGCCCATACTATTGGAGGCGGCATCAGAGTATAGAGTAGGCGGGGAATTTCCTACATCGGTCTTCATCCCAGGAACGCTTTGCTTGACAGGGTCTACACCAGGCGAAGACTCGAGGTGTTGTTGAGATTCGTCCTGCTTGATATAAGTACCTTGTCCCTCGTTGCTCCCATACATAAGTCGCTTCGCAGGCGTGACAAAACGATGATCCTGATCACGGGTGTTTGGGGACTGCTTGAATCCTCCATATGGACGTGGGCCACGGTCCGGGGTATATGACTCGTTTGCGACGGGGACGGAAGAAAGTGGAGGCGTTGCAGAGCGTGGGGGTGACTTGATGCGAGGGGCATATTGCTGAGAGCGATTGTCGCGCTCCAAAGCACCCACAAGACGCTCGGTGGCCTGGGTTGGATTTCCAAGTGCAGGCGAACTAGGCCCTGAGCCGTCGATGCGATACCCTATAGTCATACCACCACCCTTGCGAGGATTGAGAAGCTGCTTCTTGATAAATTCCTCCTTTTCGCTGTCGGCAATCTTCCACTTCATACCTTTTCCCGGTTCATCCGTGCGGCGTGCAACCTTTGCGAACGACTTGTTCAGAGACAGGTTGTGACGAATGCTGTTTTGCCATCCACTGTTGGTGTGTCGAAAAAATGCATAGCGCGCTTTGATGTAGTCGTAAATGTTGGCAAGGGTAAGCATCTCCTCCTCGCTGCTCAAAATTGCTTGGCCGATGAGCTGGGCATAGCTATGAGGTGGCTTGATATCTTTGGTTGAGTCTAGACTGTAGTCAATATCGTCTCCTGTGTCCAGAACGACAGACCGGGAGAAGGTAGCAGGCGAGCCTTTGCTGCGGGGGTCCTTGTCGGCACGAAATGTCATGGGCGTTCCTGGCTGACCACCCGGAGTAGATGTCATTTGGTTATAATAGGCTTGCGAAGACTGGTGCTTATGGCGAGGGTGCGAGGATGGTGGAAACGGATCATATTGATCCCGCTTTGGTGTCGGTCCGCTAGGGTGTGCATGCTGGTGAGACTTTGGCGGCGGGTTACCGTCATTGTCAGACTCGGCAGCATCTTCATTCTTAACCTGGCGCCATAGCATAGGATGAAAGTGGTCCTCTTGGTTAGCTAGGAGGAAAAGCATCTGGGTACTCATGATGCTGATGCAGATGCCTGAATGCAGGGCGGCCCGGTCTCCCCTGGTGAGATGGCGATCGTCCAGCTTGAGGCCATTGCGGCTGTTTACTGTAATGTACCATTTTTGGTCTGAGGGGTCAAAGTTGATCTCTGCATGAACACGGGAGATTTGGCGCTCGGGACCAAGGTCAATATGTACGCCCCAATCCTGGCGCTGCGAGTCGCTCATGGGCATACCAGCAAGGTCGGCCTGGGAGCTCTGAGGGTTGGCACGGCTGCTAGAGTCTACACGGCCAATCCTGACCTGCGTGTCCTGGACGAAGAAGCACCAATCACGCGCAGCAATCTTTGCAAAGGCGGCAATGTTCTTGCCCTCGTTGCGTTGCGACTGCAGGTCGTTTGCATAATCGATGGCGGCATTGGGCGTGTATGCGGGGGTACGGAGAGCAGCAATGACGAGGTTCTGGCGCTCGATGGGGTCCATGGGGTTGTCTGCATCGCCGCCGTTGGGGAGCGTCGTGTTGGAGTCGTTGCTGGCGACGGACTCGGTGATGCGGGTACGGGGAGGGTCTGCGGCAGCCGAGGCAGCTTCGTCCTGTCCAGAGCCGTTCAACTGTGCGAGTGAGTACAAGTTGGCCGCAACACTAGTAGTTGTTGGGCTGCTCACCCGCCTGCGCTTCCGCGAGGGCGTGGCATCTGGCGTGTCGGGGTCAGATTGCTGCTGGGGCTCTCTGCGCGAGCGGAGTCCACTGCGGCGGGTCGACATGGTGCATGCGCGTGTGAGACTGTGCCAGAAGCAATACGGTCAGCGAGTGCATGCAGCGGGAGGGTTCTGTCTTTGTATATTGCATATGTGTGTTTTGCAGGGCGCTGAACCATGGGTGTGGCCAGCGAGCCATGAAGGCGCGAATGGCTTGCGCCCCACCTGCGACTCGACACAGGCGCGCGCGCACACACACACAGACGAGCAAGGACTTGGTGCTTACCGCGAAACGCCGGTGCTCAGTTCCTAATGCAATGCGCACGGTGCGAAGAGCAACTAGCGAGGCAGCGGCGGGGGGTAGCGGAAGGGGGGGAGGTCGCAGGCGCGGAGGGTGGTGGTGATGGTGGTGGTGGAGTGGAAGAAGCGAGAAGGAGGCGTGCGGTGGGCGGCGGAAGCGTCGTCGTGGTTGCCCAGTGGTGTTTGTTATTCCACGACGCGACGGAACAGCTAGCGCGGGCGTGACGATGGGCGCGGATGGCACAGCAAGCAAGAGGGCCAGCGACGCGTGCGGGGGGAGAGGGCAGAGGGTGATGACCAGCACTTTGGGGGCCAGACGCGCCAAAGGGTAGGGTTCGGGGGGGGGGAAGCAAGAGGATAGCTATCGATAGACGGATATCGAGGGCGTGGAGATAGTCGCAGAGCCGCAGGAGGCCCAAAGAGACAAATTACGTCGCTGGCCTGCCCGATGCCCTCTGCTCTCCCCCAGCCCGGCATCCGTGCGCGCACCCCGTTGTCAATATTCACGCTACACATACGGAGGAGCCGGCGACGGGACATCAAGGACAAGCTCGCCGGACGAATGTGGCTTGTCAAACACCAGCTGTGTATCTAGACACCAACATACTCTTCCCTCCAGGCATACCGTCAACGCCGTGTTTATGTCACGCGATGCTCTTTGCCCATGTCCTGTCCAACGCACAACCACCATCATCGCCTGCGCACTGACAACAACAATGACGCTGCCGCTAACCAAAGCGTTCGCATACGCCGCCACACACCACACGAACCAGTCGCCAATCGTTGCCCCATCCATTCCCCAAGTGCTGACTCAGTGACGCGTGCAAACCAGCATTGCGCCCGCCCGCTGTCAAACAATGCCCTTGTTTATGGCTCCGTCATCAGAATCACTGCTACAAAAAGACTGCGTATATTTGCATATTAAGCATCCGAATACTATACACTTTCACACTACGCATGTAGGAGCAAGATTTTGCAACCGCCTGCCTGCCCTTGCTAGCCCTATCACGTGAGCGGCCCCGAGTTTGCTGCCCCTCATCCTTGACGCTCGTCATCCCACGTGGACTGCAAAAAAAAATTAACCTTGGTTTTCTACATGCATACATACACACACATACAATCACTTCACCAGATGCGGCAATTGACTTTGTTCGGATAAAAATAACTTGTTCATAACAGCTAGATGTGTATATATCTAAGCTAATCAAGATTAACGAATTACAACAGCAACTTATTGGCTGTAAAAAAATTCCTTGTTCCTTTCCCACTATGGCAAGCCCATCTATTTAAAGCTGCTAGTGTCCAGTGGGGCAGAAAGAGGAAGATTCCTCGAACTAGCACCAACGTGGATCGTCTTGGGGTACTCGGTAATGACCCAGTTCTGGCTGACAGTGTCCCAATTGCTGACATCACGGCGGGTGATGTTGGCAGTGAAAACGACGCTCTCGCCGGGCTGGATGGTCAAGCGGTCAAAGTCACGGAGCTGCACCTTGGGGTCGTGGGGGCCACCAAGCGAGATGTACGCCTGGGCCACCTCGTCACCAGCAACATCACCAGTGTTGGTGATCGTGGCCTCGACCTTGAACAGAACGTCCCAGAGCTGGGGGTTACCACCGGGCGCACCACCAGCCGCAATGCGGGCCTGAGGCGAACCATCGGTAGAGCCCTTGGGCCAGGTAACGTTGAGGCCGTACTCGGGATCCTGAGACGCCGTCTTGAGGTCAGTTGAGTTGAGGTAGGGGTAGATGAACGTGTCGGGGTAAACAAGGCCGGGAGGGTACTGGTAGTCCTCGGGGTTCTTGCTGAAGTTTCCGAATGTAGGGGCAGCCGAAGTCTGGCCGGTGAAGGGTTTGTAAGCCTTAGCAGACTGCGCAGTGACCTTGATGTCTGAGTATTCAAAAGTCGTATACGAAAGACCAAAGCCAAACTCGTACGTGGGCTCAATGCCCGCCTTGTCAAACGCGCGGTAGTCAATGAAGACGCCCTCTTCAAAATTGGCCTGGGGGCTGAGGATGCCGTTCGTGGGCTCATAAATGATATCAGGACCATATTCCTCTGCAGAGCTGCCAATGGTGAAGGGGAGCTTGCCACCAGGGTTGTGGTGTCCGTACAGAATATCGGCAATCGAGTTACCAGACTCCTGGCCAGGAAGACCAGCCCAGAGAATGGCAGTCACGTTGGCGTTCTCCTTCCAGGCATCGACAATGACTGGGCCGACAGAGTGGATAACTACAATGGTGTTGTTGCACAGAGCAGAGACGTTCTTGACGAGCACATCACCATTGCCCCACACAGTCAGGTTGTTGCGGTCACCCATGTTGTCTGTAATTCAAAGTTAGCAAAAGACAATGTCTATCCGGCGAAAAGACAAAACTTACTATCAACGGTGATGTAACCTTCACCAGAGTCGGCGTTGACGAAAACAATCGAGTGGCTGGCCCTGCTGGCCATGTTCTGGATCTGCGAAGTAGCGTAGTTGTCGGTGACTGAAGTGATCATGCCGCCGTTCTCGTTCACCTCGCGTTTGATGGCTTCGAGAGGAGTGATGAGGTAAGGGAAGTCTGCAGTTCCCGAACCCCAGCCCATGGCCAAGGTGCCAGAGTTGCAGCCACGGTCAGCGCATCCGTTGGGACCCAATGGGTTTTCGCCAGCATCTTCTCCAAATACAGCAGTCCACTTCTCTTTTCCAGAGAGAGGAAGGACGCCAGAGTTCTTGAGGAGAACAGTCGACTTGGCAGCAGAGCGGCGAATAGAGCGGAAGTGCTCCTCGCGAACATCAACGTGCTTGTTGACCAGACCGAAGCTCTTCTTTCCGAAAAAGTGCTCGAATCCGTATGTGCTAGTTTGCCAGCTGTCAAAGTTGACGGGGATAGACTCGTCAAGGCCAACAAAGTAGTATGCGGCCATGATACGGATAGCCGCATCGTCGAGACGCCACTGAGGAATGGTGCCGTTAAGAATTGAGACGGTCAGGTTAGTTCCCCAGAAAGAGAGTCCAGAGTTGAATCCAGTGTCACCAGGCATGGTCATGTCCAATCCGGCATAAGCCGAGGCAACACCCGAGTGCTGTGCATCCCAGTCAGATCTAAGCATAATGTTAGTTTCTCGTCTTACGCTTACAAAGCCTATCGGTGTACTTACAGAATGAAACCCTGGAAGCCAAGCTCGCCCTTGAGAATATAGTTTTGGAGGTACGAATTTTGGCAGACTTGCGAGTTGTTGGCCTTGTTGTAAGAGCACATGATGGAACCAGTACCAGCGCGGACGGCGTCGGCAAAGGGCCACAGGTAGAGCTCGTGTAGAGTCTTGTCATCGGTATTGGAGCTGATGGCATCGACAAAGGGGATGTCCTTGAAACCGCCGGGCTGACGGAAATGCTCTTGCTCATTCAGAAGGTAGTGCTTGGTGCAGGCGATGACACCAGCATCCTGGATACCGCGGACCGTTTCGGCCACGGCAATACCCGAGAGCACAGGATCAGGACTGAAGCCTTCCCAGTTACGCTACACGCTTGTTAGTGAATGCAAAAAACCTGAGTAGTGTAGCAAACTTACACCGCCCTTGGGGTGGCGACCAAGAGGTCCAATGGCAGGACCAAGCTGAATGTCGACACCCTTCTTACGGTGCTCCTTGCCCATCTCGTTACCGCGGGTGTAAAACTCATAACGGTCCCATGATGCAGCAACGGTGCCACCTGCTGGGAAAGCAGAGACGTAGTCCGCAAAACGGATGCCGAGAGGGCTGTCCTGGAGGCAGAGGGGATCAAAGTCAAGGCGAGGAATAGCGCCCACGTTACCAACACAGTGGTCGCTCTGCCATCCAGTGCCGGTGGTGAGGTTGACCTTCTCGATCAGAGTCAATTGGCTAACAAAAGCCTTTGCCTTTTCATAGGCAGCTGCCCAGTCCTTGGTGGTAGGGTCTACCCAACTGATGCACAGTTAGAGAGATGTTGCGAATATCAGGGTCTACGTCGTCAAGTTTGGGTGGCGCCATGGCTAGGGCCACCCGTCGCCCGCAAAAACAAGTGCCGAATGCACTACTTGCAGCAGCCAGGGTCTTTCAACGTAGAGACAGCATATACGTACGGACTTGGGTAGAATGGCGGGCTCTGGGCATTGTTCAAAGAACCACTGCCAGTGTCGTTGGTAGCACGAGGGAACCTGGGCGATGCCTTTTGTTGTTGTTGTTGTCAGTTTGAGTGTGCAAAGAGGGCGTTTGGGTGCAATTGCAAAGCGACTAAGCAGGGCCAGACTGGTATTGTCGGCAGAGTCATGTCGTCGGCATAAAGGCGTGGTGGCGTTGGTTTGGACGTACCTGGGCAAGGCCGACCAACAATGCTTGTGCAAGCCACAGCATGATGGCGTCTGGGTGACTAGGGAACGCAGAAGCAGAGACACGAGCAACACAGCAACAGACGCTACTTGTGAGGCAATCTGCAACGAGGACTTGAATGCAGTCGCAGACACAGTGCAGAAAAAACCTTGGGGCATCATGGTAGCTTTATTTCATTGCGCGCCCAAGCAAAGGACAAGGGCAGATCGTCCCCAACGACCTGTCTCCATGCTAGCACCATGCGCCTTGCCCCGTCGCATCCCCAGGCGCAAGCGGCAGTCCAGGATGGCTCTGGTTGCGGGGACCATGATGCATCATTGCCTGCTGACCCCTGCCCCGCCCCCTGAGGTCTCCTCCCGGGGCACCGCGTCTCCCTTTGGACGCCCAAGTGGCCGTGGTGCTGTTGGCTGTTGGCTGTTGGCTGCTGGCTGGAGGTCGGCTTCGGGTTTGGACATGGATATCTAACGGGCTGCCGAACAGTTGCAGAAGACCGCAAAGTCGGCATCGATATGTTGATGTTTACTTACATAGATTCCCTTCCCCATGCATCCACACCGGGAGGGCATCGACTGCACATCCATCTGCGCTCGAGTAGGGCGCCCGGCCAATGCATGAGCCGTGCACAGAGCCTTGTACATCGTCATCTACCATCCTCGGACGTGCACACAAACTCCCCCTCCGGAGCCTTCTTGGACGCCACACAACCGTCCAAACTCTGACAAGGAGGGTTGGATTGCGCGCTATCTGGCTGCTCGTCTCATTTCCCTCAAGCCCAGCACGGCGCCCAGCATGCGGGGTCCCTGTCGTCAACGAGCACTTGTTCCCTCGACTATGCCTCTGCCTGTCGCCCGCAAGCTACCACTGACCGATGCTCCGTTACCTTGGGACATGGCATGCCGTCAACTGCTCCCCGGAGCCTACCCACCATCACCTGCAGCCTCCACAACGTCTGCATACATACGTTGGCTATACTTCGGCAGTACCTTTTGGGAAACATTGGCCGTCGTGCCCACCCCAGATGGCCGTCTGGACGATGGCCGTTGGGTTGGTGACCAAGAGACTAGTATCCAGTAGGCCGCCATGCGCGTCTTAGCATCCTGTTCCACCGGGTGATGTGGTAAGCACCGAGCAAAACGGCTCCAGTTTCTCCTCCACTGCTCCACTCTTGGCAAGTAGTACATGCAAAAGTCACTCACGTCACCGACACGCCGCCTCCGATGTTGGCCCTTCGGTACCACGCTTCGGTCTCCAAGTAGCATCGCGTCTACGCCTACCGGAATTGCGCGCCGTCGGAGCCCTTCGGCATGTGATCAGGAATAGCGGCCTACCTGGGCTACCCATATCTTGTCATTGTAAGTAGTCGCGATGAAAATGGGACAAGGTACCGCAGGAGCTTCAACATCACATCGGGGGTACAAGGTGCGCGTTGTGCCTTCTCCATTTGCCGACAGTTCCAGGATTCGGCTTACAGAACAGGCTTTGCCCCTGTCGCACATCGGAGTATATACTCTGTATATCTATCTCTAATTACCTCGACTCTTACTAAGAGCCTCGGACGAACATCATGGTAGCCAGCCCTCTCATCTTTGGTCCGCTAGCAAAGGGGCGCACCGCTGCGCATCAACGACGAAGAATCATCATGGTACCTCTGCCGTCCAAGAAGCCGCATTGGCCAATGCCCTTGTACCCCGCATGGAGACGGCTTGCTAGCGTCGTTTTCTAGAACTTCACGCTTGGCATCCCCGTAGACTTGAAAACTTGCTTGGACACCTGACTCTCGATACGACAGTCTGGTTCGCTTCCTCGAAAGAAACATGGTAATGCAACCGTGATGAACACCCCGCGGTCGTCCTCTCCACCACATTAGCTCTTCATATTGTGGTTAGGGAATGCGAGTATGTACATAAAGTTACAGACGGGCGCTGTGCAAGAAAATGCGCTTGTTCAATTTCGAGCAAGACGTTAAACCAAGATTGCAGCTTTCGGGGACTGTCTTGCATGGCTTGGACGGACGTTAAGATGCGCTGACATCCAATCGCTTCGACAAAGGCTCGGGCCATGTCTAGTAAGCCTATCTCCAAGGCTACAACATGGAAGTAAACATGGAACACACTCCTTGCTCATTGTATTGGCGACGAGAGAAATCAATACAGCGCCGCTGACCCTGCAATTTTTGAGGCTTAAATTAGTCCGCAAACCCACGCAAATAGTACTTGTTCTACAAACCAGGTTGGGCATACGCGTAATCAAACCCGAAAAACCAGCCGCCTGATGCCGTTATGGCCTAGACCAAAAACAGTGGCTAACGACGTGGAGCAAAAGTAAGGGTAGTGGGGCTGCCAGAAAAGGCGGACATGACTACCACTACTTTTGCCAGACGCTGGGGACAAGCAATGCACGGGCTTGTAGTGACTTGTTGATGCAAAATAAACATTACCTCTCCTATACATACCCCTTGCTTGAGAGCCGAGTCGATATATATGTATGTACGCGAAAACTCCTCGCCGCCCTGGAAAGGCTCTGAAAAGGGCGCAAGGTCTCTGCTTGACACTGCACCAGCCCTAGAACCGGGCAGTGCTTCTCCAAGGGCTGAAGCTCTCGGGCGCCGCTCAGCCTCATCATGATTCCGCCAAGAAGAGAAATGTTCAGTCACAGGCCATCGAGATGTTGTCTGGATCTATTCCCAGGCACAATACTGTCATCGCAGTTAGGATGAGATTGGTGACGGATTCTCCCGACAAGATTCTGGTCAGGCCAACCATGTCCGAGGGCTCAAGGCAGTCGCAAGGCAGCACCGCCTTAGTTTGAGTCAACCGCCTTTTTCGAGTCAAGTCCATACGCATTTCTTGTCATATAACACTTGTATTCAGCCCAACGCTATGAACTCACAGACTTCTTCACCATCATCTTCACCATGGGCTGCAAACCCTCTCGAGCGGTACGACCGCACGCGAAAGCTGAGGCCTCTATCGCCATCGCGCCTACCTTTCACAAGGCTGAGCACGCGGACACACCACAAAAGTGCAAAGAGAGTGTACCACAACTATCACGACCTTTCTCTCACGACGACATTACAATCACATCTTCAGCCACGCTACCGATAGTCTGCCAAAGGCGGAACAGCGCGCCCACCACGACCATGGAAACAACACAAGAACCCACTGCCACCTTCAGCCTATTCCTCGCAGAGCATTGCCTTATGTCGATTCAACTCCCCGATGCCGAAATTGATGGGCCTACCGTTGCAACAGTCCCATCCACTCCGGCACCTCCGCAGCCCAGCGATGTTTTGGAAGAGTCTACCGTCCAGTGCATCACTTGCTGCACAGCGCTGCCCAACGAAAAGGACAAGTTTTTCAAGCCCTGTAAGAATTGTGATAGTGCATATTGCGGATCATGTATCAGATATTTGTTCATCGAAGCCTGTAACGACATGGCACGCATGCCACCACGGTGCTGCGGCCCGATCCAATTACATCACGCAAAACTTCATCTGAACGGGGAAGAAATTGCTGTGTTCAAAGCAAAGTACGAGGAGTGGCTGACTCCGAACCCCCTCTATTGCCCCGTACCTACATGCTCAGCTTTCATACCGGAACGACTTCTTCCTGAGCAGACAAAAACGAACAGAAAACGCACAGATTCTGGGACTGGAATACCAATTTCAAATACGTTTGCATGTCCTGCTTGCGAATCCAGCATCTGCTCAGACTGCCGACTGACAGCACACCCTTCCAGCGCGTGCAATGTCTCCGAGTTTGGCATCGACGAAGAGACCACTAGGCTTCTGAAGAGCTGGGGCTATAAGCAGTGCCCAAAATGCCGGCATGGAATCAAGCGTATGTTTGGGTGCACCCATATTCAATGTCGCTGTGGTGCTCATTTTTGTTACAATTGCATGGGTAATCCAGATCTTTGCGGGGATAGTTGTGTCGAAGACGAGGATTATGAAGTGGAGAGCGACGATGGGAGCATGTTGGAACCACCAGAGTCACCCGAAACATCTTCTACGCAAGGGGAACATCAAGATACTGAACCGCATGTTGCACCGCCAGCCGAAGCCGTGAATCTCGATAGGGGAAGTGCTTCATACTGGGCAGGGCAAGCCCTAGACTTTGGCGAAGAACCAGGCCAGGATTTTGCGGACCGCGCTTGGAACTGCTTCCATTTCTTCAAGCCATTCAAGATCGATTTGGCACAGGCACTGACTACAGATTCTTCGCACGCAACGCTGGAGTGCGTGAAATGCTGGAGCACAATATATCCAGTGATCAAAGAGCCGCCCCGTGTTTCGTGGATGGGGCAAGCCCAGACGATATCTATGGGGTCAAGAGTGAATAACACAAGTACAGAGCGTGTTATTGCCAGAGAGCATGGTCGCGGAGGGAGGCATGGTCAATACGTGCCTCCACGCAATCTCTTCCGCGACAACAACGCCACAATGAGAGCGACGCTTCGTCAAACCAACACGGCGCCTTCTCCTCTCTCACAAAGCGCGCCCGACCACGAATCCCCGCTTACGCAATACCTGAATCGGCATTGCGAATCAGTTGTTGATGTCTACGGCAACATCATCTCGCCAGCTGAACCACAACAGCAGCGCCGTGCATCAATGGACGACCACGACTTCCACCACATGTCTACATTGTCATTAAACAACGGCCCAACAGAAAAATCCTCCCTTCTTAACACATCATCTCCAAGCTCAACTACGCCTACTCCCAACCTTCGAATGAACATTGCTTACGACTGCTCTGACTGCAACCTGCTCGTCTGCAAGTCTTGCAAAGACGCCTTGATCGTTGCCCGAGATCTGGGCGTTGAGAAGCACAAAGCGTGGGTGCAAAGACTGCAGGAAGAGAGATTAGCACGGGATTCGTAGTCAAATCTTTTCCCTTGAAGTTTATGCGGCATGAATGGAGTTTTGATCTTTGTTCTTCATTAGGATATCAGCATTTTGAACTCGGCTTATGATGGCGTATATAAACGACTGACATGCATTTAATGTAGTTATATAATGAACACAAACAGTAGTACTGCACTACTGTCTGATAAAAAAACAATTGCAACGACCTCGACAACAACACTAGACTTTCTTTTCTCTCATCTCCCCTATACACAGCCTCTGTACAATCAAAGCAGTTCCCAACATACCCGTTGCTTCTTACCCTCCCTCCCCCTTTCTTTTCCTTCACCTCATCACTTATGCCCCCCCCCCCCCCCCAAATATGCCACCATGCTTTTCCCCTAATTCTTCACCGTACATATTCCCCACACTTCTTCTTCTTCTCTTCCCAACCTAAACAACCTGTGAACCCCTAGAAATGTTTAAAAAAAAAGCTGAAAAATCAAACATATAGAATATTTGTATCTGTCTTTCTCCAACGTTCTCACTCTCTCTTCCAAATTGTAAAACGCATCAAGTAATGGAGAGAGAGAGAGACAAACACATATATGTTATACGGCGAACTGAATTACTTTGCTACTAAACAGATAATTACCGCATAGACCATCACCTTTCTGCAACCATCTGCAACCAGGGTAACTGACAGCAGTCAGTTAATTGAAGAAAAGGCATCTTCTTAACCATGTGCTTCTCTTAATCAAGAAAAAACTACTACGAATACATCACACCAGACAATAACGAATCAAACAGTCAAACAGTCAAACACGCATGCCAAAAAGGTCGAGCTCAAGTTGACTACATTTTTTTGATACCGGTAAATGAAAAGTATTCACAGCCCGGTGCCCTCTCTTTCAAAGATGCTTGATATCGTGCTTCAGCTCCCTGTTGGTTCATCCAGTCGTGAAATAGCCTTGTTGTTCATTCGTTCGTTTCATCCACAACAGACCGTTAGACACAGACACGTCCGGCTTTCAGGCCGCAATGAGTGCTGGCGCTTTCTATGCGCCGAGGCTGGGGAAGGCGCTTGAGTCGGTGATGTTGGGACCGGGGGCACCACCGCGGCCACCACGACCACGGGCATCACCACGTCCACGAGTCTCACCGCCACGGCCACGTCCGCGGAACTCTCCACGACCCTCGCCGCGACCGCGTCCCTCGCCGTTTCCACGTCCACGTCCCTCGCCGCCACGGAATTCGCCACGGCCACGGCCGCGTCCTCGGGCGCCGCCCTCACGGGGAGGGGGAGCAAGCATACGGTCACCATCGAGCTCAACGTGAACCTTCTCCTTGCGCGCGCGCTCGCGCTTAGCCTTGCCTTGTCCACCGGCGATGAAGTCTTCTTGGTCGTCGCGGGAGAGCGCAGTACCTTCGGGGAACTTCTGGCTGCTGCCCTCGTTGGCCTTGCGAACGTTCTGGGCGGCAAGAGAAAGCTTCTTCTCGGCCAACTCAGCAAGGTAGGCAGTGTAGGACTTGCTCTTGTCCTCGGGCTCGGGCTCGGCGTTCTCGCCCTCGGCATCATCCCGGATAGCGTCCTTCTCTTCAGCCTGAGCGATGGCCTCGCCAGCCTGCTCATCAGCCAACTCAGCGTCACCGTCCTTTCCGCCCCAGCCGTGAGCAGCTTGCTTGTCGTGTTCGCTAAAAGACGTTAGCCTGGTGAAAGTAGGGTTAAAAGAGGGGGGGGGGATTTCTTACCTGATGCCGGTCCTGCTGTGACGGTCACCCTCGCCGCGGGCACCACCACGACCTCCACCGCGTCCACCGCGTCCACGACCGCGCTGGCCACCGCGAGCTCCAGTGCCAGTAGGCTCTAGTTGGGATTAGCATTGATACAGACCGACCATTAGATCCCCACTCACCACCAGATCCCCTTCCACGGTTCTTGTCAGATCCTACGCCACGATCCCGGAAAGCTGTGCTTCATTAGCTGTTGTTCGCATGGATGTTCTGCGGAGGTTCTAATGTATCTCTAGCACCCGACATGTCTGACATACCGTTCTCGTTGGCATTGTCGGTCTGCTTGGCACGGTTCTGGTGGCTCTGCCTCTCGGGGATGGACTTGGGGAGGTCGGATCCATCGCGCTTGCCATGCCTCATGACGGGCTTCTCAATTGCCCTTGTTGGCGGGTCAGCCGGCCTGTTGGGGTCGAGCTCAGGGTCGTTGCCTGCGGGGTCATGAGTGTTTGTTCTGCAACTGTGCCATGTATCCAGACGTACCCAGTAGCTCGTAAATGTTCTGCACTTGGAGTTAGCCATTGGAATGGACAGAGGACCGCAGCTGGCACTGCAGCTCCCAATTGCGAGGCACGGATTTGGATTTCGCAGTGGGGTGACCTGAGAGCTTACCTTTGAAGCGATTTGAGACATCTTGACGGATTGGAGCGCCTTTCGCGCTTTGCCCTTCTAGATGCACAACCTGCCGGGTGGAAAAAAGAATATGAGAGCTTCCCTACGGTGGTTAGGGACGTGGCTCTCAGATGTGGCTCGCGAACGGGGTAATGGGCGCGAAGTTGCGGGCAAGAGGTTCGAAAATCGGCGTGGGTTGCTGCCGTAAGCGAGTCAAGTGGGGCACAGACCATACGTAGAAGGCACAAAGAAGCACCAAAGGGAGCTCTCTGTGTTGCCGCGTACGGCGCTTGGATACATTATTGTACTTTCGCTTCTGAGTGGTAGAAGTGACTTTTTGCATATCCAGAAATGCTATTTCACAGGCCCATGGCGCCCGAAAGTGGTCGGCAGGATTTTGAATGGCTTGCTTATTCCAAGTGCGCATTCAGACGCAAGTCGAAGTTCACCCATAACAAGTCAGGTGCACCCCGCCTTGGAGCGAGAATAGGTGGCAGATAAACAATCAACACACTTGCCTTTACTTGTGAATATCATTATCAGATTCCTGTGACAAATTTTGAGAGGAACGAAAATGGCTGTTGCAACCGACTTTGCATTACAATATGTACAAAGCAAGGCTGAATCTCTAATCAAGAGGCCGCAGTGCCACAGTAGAAGACTGGGTTGCTTTGTAAAGCATGCCCACTTCTCATGGCCGGAGCCTAAAAAAAACTTCCCGTCACAAATACAACTGTCGCGTCCAGCCACAGATTGAATGAAAACTTTTAAATATCACTATCCCAAGGCGACGGGTCTTTCGTATCGAGCGCTGTCGTACGGTAATGACACATGGTCGGTTGGGTAAAAGCAGTTGTTGCGCCCGCTAAACAACGTCGTCAAGAAGGTATGAATAGGTGAGTTTTTACACGGTCCCTAGTAGACATCCGGAATAATCTTCTCTTACTATCGTATCGTTCTCGTAGCATTATCTGCTCTCGTACATGGTGGGAAAGTGCATGCTGGCGGACAGTCCGAATGGATCGGCGTCGAGCATTGGATCATAAGGGTCGAAGAGGTGGTTGTTGCTCATGCCATTGAAGACTTGGCCGCCGTCGTTTGGTGCTAATGGGGCCGGGCTGGTGAAAGGAGGGTTCTGGGAAGGCGGCATTGGCGGCGGCATATTGTTTGAAGGTGGGAAATTTTGTTGTGGAAATGGACCGGGACCGGCAGAGTGATCGCTCGGATCGTCGTGGTCGTAGGTGTCTGCTTGTTCCTCGTACTCCTGCTCTGTTAAAGGATATTAGCCTAGGATTACAAAGTCCTATACCTTAAGTAGAGGGGAAGAAAAGGAAACGGGTTAGCTTGCCCAGTTGACTCATGTGGTCCGTGAACTGCGTTTGGTAGAATGAGGAAGGACCGTTGTTCGGTGTTACACCGTTTCCGCTGTTACCGACTGTCGAAGCATTTGACATGCCATTTGAGGAAGGCTGGTTTGTTACTAGCGAAGGTCGTTGAGCTCCCATCATAGGGGTGAAGTTTGATCTAGGTGGCTGTGGTCGAAGTGGTTGCTGCTGCTGTGGCTGCTGCTGCTGTTGTTGCTGTTGCTGTTGCGGTTGCGGTTGCTGTTGCTGTTGTGAATGCATAGGTCCAAAATTGGGGGATACTGATTGACCATTGGGCATGAAATTGGGCGAGCGAGTCGCTGATTGAGCAGGAGATGAAAGATGGGAGCCCGGAGTAGGCTGGGTCAAGGGAGATCGCTGAATAGGACCATCAGGTTGGATCATGGGTAGGCCATTGGAGGCATCAATCTTGGGCGGACCTTGCAGCGAGCGCCTCTGTTGCTGTCTATTCAACATGGCACGTTGCTGGAGAGGAGCCTGGTTGGGCGAGGCATGTGCAGATAGTGGAGGTCTGGTGGCTCCGAGATTTGGACTGCCAGTCTTTGCGCGTAGCTCAGCCTGAACGTCGATGCCTAGAGGCGAGTAGCGGGTTAGCGCATGTTGCTTGATCAGACGTCTGGGGAAAACGGGGTCAAGACTACCTTTCTCTAGCAGAATCCTCTCAAGTAGAGAATTCTTATACCGGAGCATAAGGCACTCGTCAGCGGCATTGCGGTGACTATTTTGCAGGTTCTGGAGAGTATCCTCATGATGCTTAATGGTGCTCTCCAATTGCTTGATGTACTCTGTTCTTCGCTCACGGAAGGCGGCCTGGGCCTGCCTGTTCCGCTGCTTGCGCTCTTCCGAGGTGGCATAAATCTTACGAGGCTTTGTTAGTTCTATCATAGACGCGGTAGCGACTGCTGCAGTCATGGCCGGCAATTGGTGGCGGGAGGGCTCACAGGTTTACGGCCGCCTTTGCGCTTCTGCTGCTGGGGCTCTTCCTGGGGATATGGCTCGGCCAGGCCAGGCTCGGGCGACGATCCGATAGACGAGGTCGAACCGTCACGCTGAGCCTCTACTTTGCCCACGGGAGCCGTCATATCTGTTACGAGACTATCTCCCATCTGCGGCCAGCGCACCCCTCCGTCCTGATAGAGGGGCCGTTGGGCGCCAAGAGATGGGGAAAAGGCGACAAAGGCAGGTCGGTCAGGGTGACAAGAGGCTCTGGTCGCTTAGACGCGCTTGCAGTGGGCAGCCGCAGCGCCGGGACGGGGAATGGATACGGTGTGTATGGGGGATTGATAATGTCTGATAAGAAGAAAGGGTTGGGGCCTGTGGGTGGTCGCGCAGTAGTTGTGAGGTAAGCTCTTGGGTAATGGAAACAAAGATGGGCTCGAACGGAGGGGCGGAAGTGCTGGACTTGAAAAGGCGGGCGGACCACGCTCTTTTGCCCTGCCCAGCGCAGCCAGCTCGACTCCGTGTGGTTAAGGCTCGCGGCTGGCCGCCCCAGCAGTGCTTTGTCGGTGGGCGGGCGGGCGGACAGCAAATGGCCACTGTTGGCGCTCCGGCGCTGGGCACCACCCTCGCTATGACGGCCAAGCGGGCGGGATGAGCACTGGCTGGCCGCGAAGAAGTTTTTTCTTCTTTCGCGGGGGGGCCTGCGCAGCGGTAGCGGGCAGCGGCAGCAGTAGCAGCACCGTCGCATCATCAGCATCATCATCATCACGAGCGAGGGTGGCAGATTATGGCAGGCCCTGTGTCTGGGCGTGCGTTCAGTCGACGCCTTGGTGGAGGAGCCCTGAACATGCTGAACATGCTGAACATGGCTGCTGCTCACGGGCTGGACTGCCATGCCGTTTTAGGCCTAGCGTGCTACTAGCTCCCGCGCCACCACCACTTTTTGCACTGCTTTCTCCGGTTTCTCCAGCGCACGCAGACCAGCCGCCGCAGTGCTGGCTGCCACAAGAGACCGCTGGCGGATGATATGTAATGAACGCACCAGCCCTCTACTGTGCTCTGCGTACATATACTGCACATACTACAACACTCGACGCATCTGCCTGCTCACCCGCCCGCTGCCCCGCTGCGCCACGCGGCTCCGTCACTGCTGCACTCGCTCCGCGCCAGAAGGCAAGGCAGAGCAGAGGCCGACGTCGGCAGCGCCTGGGTTGGCACATACCGATGACCTTCTCGGCCGGCATATCACCTCTCCTCGTTCGCACACATGGGCTGACGGGAGTGAGGGGGCGCACCCGTCCGCGTCCATAGCTGTCTGCATGACATGCCCCGACCCCGACCGGCGCCGACAAAAGTCAAATCACAAATACCAACTCCTCGTCCATGGCCAATGTCACTGCACGAGGCGTTTGTCTACCCGCCCTGGCTGGCAGCGCACTTGCTCCCGCCGGGAAGCCGCCAAAGCCCCGGGTCACGCCCATCATTACCAACGCCTTGGCTCCCTCGAGACACACCGAGTTTTGGCCATGGGATCGCCGAAGCCGTTGCTTTTATGCACCGCCTGAGCCTCGTTAACCATGTCCAGTCGTAGCGTCGTCGCCCGCAATGTCCGCCTGAGCACCCACCTGACCTGCACACGGTCGAGACTCACCATACCACAGAACAGACTCGTCGACCCTCTGCAGAGCCACAGCGAACAAAGGTCCAATCCACCTGTGCGCCCGCAGTGGGCCGGAGCTGCGTATGCCCCGGATATACTTGCCCCTTTGGGCCTGGCCCGCTGGTTCAATTGGATGTTCACTACTCCAACGACATTGCAGCAGGGGGAGCCCTACAGCAACCTCGTCTCCAACCACACATCTCCCCTCATGCTCCACGCTCCACGCTCGTCACCTTCCCAGTCACTCTCCTCATACGATCCCAGCTAACAATACTCCGAGGTGTATCCATGGATACCGTACCATTGTTGCCGTCGCTGCTGCTACTACTACTACTACTACTACTACTACTACTACTACTACTACTGCTGCTGCTGCTGCTGCCACTGCTGGAGCAAGACATGGTTTATGCTGATGCTTTGAAACACTCCCCAAATACTATCCGCGGACCGCATTCCACTGTATTTCACAAAGTTGCACAATGCCTCGTAGAAAATTGCGTTTTTCCAATTGTTGACGTTGCTCATCGCTCTTGCTGGTTTGACTACTCTGTGCGAGATGACTGCAGAAGGAGCAAATACCCCAACGCTCTTGCCTCACCACTTCACGGGCCTGCCCCGCCAATTGCCATAATACCTCATCTCACAATACACATTCTTCTTATGCAACCCTCGGACCATAGCCTCTACTTGTCCAGCAACATATCCCAGCATTGACACTGTCTCGTATGACCTTCTTCCCGTTTTTACTACTGTCAGGTCTCGTATTTACCAATCTAACCCCCTGAAAGTAGGCAGATATGATCTTCTCAGAGATGATTGAATGTCTGCTAAACAAAGCAGGGACTCGAATCCGACACTAGGCAGAGATTACATACCAACCTGCATCTGTATCCTCCACCACATCCGGTTGGTGTCGCGACTCCGTCTGTGTCACCCGAATACGATAACACGCAATTTCTGAGCTGCAACGGCATGATCGGTAGCCCTGCCAGCGAGACCGGTGCATATCCAGCAGTCGCTTCTCGTACAAAGCCCCGAGCTCTATCGGACATTCGTGAAGCAACCGAGTCTACCATTGCTGACACTTTGTTACGCGATATCTTGGTCGAGACTCCTCTCCGCTGCTCATCCCCTACCGGAATGTCACAGGCTTTTCATGACGCGCCAGGACAATGTCACAGCAATGATGTTCGGAATGTGGAGAACGTTGAACTCGAGAGCAGAAACAGCGTCGAAAGCGATGGCTTGAGATACGTTCAACGAGGCAGATTTTCAGAAACACCATCATCACCAAATCTCATAGACTGCAATAACAGAGCCAAGATATCCAGTGTTTCTGCAAGCAACATCCCCCCGCGATCATCTTCAAAATTTCGTGTACGCAGTATTTCCAGGATGCGAAAGACACAGCAAATACCACCCCAGAGCATAATACGAAGCACGACAGCAGAAACACTCAACGTGGTACAAGCAAGGCCCCTATCACATTCTAGAAGCAAGACTAGTATCATCCCTAGTCATGGCCAATCTCAGTCGCCTGCCCGCCTCACTGCCGCACGCTTCAACCCTGTCGCACATGACACCAACAGGCGCATCCCCTCCAAGACGTTCATTCGCCAGTCTTTACCGAAAGAGCTCCTAGAACATCCGGCACACCGCCATCCCCGAATTGAGCTCGGGTTAGATTTATCAGCAGGAGTATTCGTCGGTGGAGGATGTATTGAAGGGACTATCCAAATAGACATTGATGATGCAGAGCGAGTACGTCACAGACGAACTCTAGACATTGCTCAGATATCTATCGATCTTCTTGGAATTGAGGAAGCCAATGGCAATAGGCAGGCTGTGTTCCTGAGCCTGGCTACAGAGCTCATTGACAAAGAGAATCCCCCGCCCCAGAACATGGTGGATACCCAGGAGTCAATTGGCCCAGAAAGTACATTCTGGCATCTTGTACCTTCTACTACCAATCTTGCATTCAGCCTTAGTCTTCCGCTCGATGTTGGACCTCCTCCATTCTATTCAAAGAACGCAAGGATCCGATACTTGCTCTATGCGTGCCTGCTCATCCGGGACCGGAGCAAGCGGCATCTCGTTAGAACCTCTGAAGACATCACTGTACTACCCGTGTATGATCGTATGTCCTCTAACTACGCCTGTCTTTTGGGCGGCTCTGACCACATGACAGCTGAAAAGGCACTGGTTTCACTTCCCAGCCCACTGAATGCCTCTGATGAGTGGATCAGGCCCCGGGATACGACTGTAGAGGTCGTCCGACTCACTGCAGGTATACACCGCCAAGTCTGGGTCAGCGGTACGAACATTTTCGTAGACGTTTATATTGTCAACAATAGCCACAAGACAGTGAAGAAGATTGAGCTTCAGCTAGAGAGAGACATACTTTGCTACAAACATGTTTGTAGCAAGAGTCTGTTCTGTGTCTTCTTGCTGATGCTAATGCGAACTGTGTGCAGGCTGCTGCATCCACTATGGAGAAGTCTGCAGGTCAGGCTCGTATCTTTGACAGCAATGAGCGTACCATATTGAGCAAAGCAACGGTGAAGAATGGCTCGGCTGGCTGGCATGGTGTGGCTGCAGGCCAAACTCACCTCCGCACCTGCGACCTGGAAGTTCCCCGTGGGCATGCTACAGTGAAATGCGGTATGCCATTGCTACTATGACACAAGCAGAACACTAATAGCGCAGGCAAATATTTTGAAGTCCGATATTTCCTCAACGTTATCATCTGCAGCGCACATACGTTAGGATGCACGCATAGCTTTACAGATCAAGCTGACATTGCGTAGAAGACTTGTCACTGTCCAGCTACCGATTGTGCTTATCCACATGGTGCGTCTTCTCATAACGCTTTGTTCTCTTTGCCCTCGATTGACCCTTGTGCCGCAGAACTCTCTCGACGTGGTGCCCAACTCCGTCACTCAAGTGGCTTTGGCGATCGAGGAGAAGCGTACAGCACATCACTCACCCCCACGTCTCAGTCGTCATACCTCTCGATCCGCTCAAGGCCGCGCGTTTGCAGCACCACGCACGGAATCGCTTAAACGCATTCGCGACCGGGACGAGACCATCCAAGAGCTAGGCCGAACCCTTGAACAAAGCCCCCGCAAGTACAATCTCCGTCGCGCAAACTCGAATTTCAACTACCGTACGCTGCCTACAAACACACAGGACAGAACTGTGGGACACGATAAGGCATCAGACCTTCAAGATCGTCTGCGCCGCATTCGGTCCAATGATGTGGTCGGTTCCAAATATCCTGCTACCTTACAAAGAATGCAGTCCACAACGTCAAGGCAAGGTGCAGAGTCGGCGCTTGGCTTTCGGGAAGTTGAGATACATGAAGATACTGAACTTGGGGAGTTGGATTCGAGTGGTGATAGGCTGTTGGGAGCGAGGTTGGACGGAGTCAGCGAGCGCCCATATTGGTTTAGCAAAAGGAATAGTTTTGAAAAGTGGAAGGACGTGGCCAACCTTGGTGTTGGGTGGCTGAAGAGTGGTTGAGATAGGAGAGGGATAGAGGTGGGCAGGTACAACGTTGTTTCTTTCCCATGTATCGCGTGTGATGTTTAGTCATGACTCTTTTATCGTACAATCGTATCCAGTCGTCCTTGTATGTTTCTTCCCCTCCACCCCTATACTCCAACTAAATCATATCGTACAATAGCCTTCTCCACACGTTTTACTTATTAGATACACATAATATCGATACATATAGCTCTTAAACAAACGAGCTAATCACGCTCCCCTCTCGTCCATGCATAATTCAGCTTCAAGCTCGACTCTTACTCAACTCACTCTGCGCCGTAGCCGTCGGACCCCCCTTGACCCTCTCCCCACCCGTAACCTTCTTCTCCCCGACAGTAATATCATGCAGCGCCTGACTAGTAATCGGCTCATTCGCATGACTTTGCGCATGCGCCGTAGGCCCATCCTTAACCGGACGGTTCTGGCCCGTGAGTTTCTTCTCGGCCTCTGTAATTTTGTGCAGCGTCGCTGAATCCAGGGTGCCGGAGTGGGTCGTGTTTGAAGATGTGTTTGCATTTGCAGAGTCGTTGTTGTTGTTGCTGTTAGGGCTGTTGCCAGATGTCAAGGCTGATTGAGCGACGGATGTGGGGCCACCCTTTACGGGCTCATCACTCCCTGTTATACTCTTCTCGCCCATTGTGATGTCGTGGATTATGCTCGCGGTGAGTGTCTGGCCGACGTGTGCTTGGGCTTTTGCGGTTGGACCGTTGGCTACGGGCTTGTCGCTGCCCGTGATTTTCTTTTCGGCGGCGGTGATTTGCGATATGAAGTTTGAGTTGATTTGGAGGGCTTGCTTGGAGGTCAGGGAGAAGGAGCGGGTGCTGTGGTTGCTTAGGTCGTTGGTGGAGATGATGCTTTGGCGCAATGCACATGGTGGTGTAGAGGTGAGCCGCGCGCTTGGGCGGGCGAAGAGGAAGTTGCGGTTTATACGAAGGAATTTAGATGCCATTTTTGGTGGCGGGAGGTGTGATGTGGTGGTGATTTTGGGTTTGTTTTCGACTACTTTTTTTTCTATACAAATGCAAAGAGAGGGAAGCACAAGACATGAGCTCGTCCTTTATGTACCGTGATGGAACTCTGATGTAATGCCCAAAATCCCACAAATAATGCGCTTAGACTCTAGAACAGCATACCCGTGTTTTGTGGGAGAGGTGACGTTACTATGGGTCCCAGAGATGGCATTCTTGTGTTGTTTGCTGTTCATGGCCGTGCTTTTTCCCTAGGCCACTGCAAATTTCTGCATCAATGGCGTTTACATTGCGATGATGATCCTGAGATGCAGGGAGCCGCATCACCGATGGCATTGGCGACAGCGCGATGCGTGCCGATGGTGTGGTGGAGCCATGATGTCAGCATCTTCTGGGGAAGAAGATGATGCGCCTTCCCTGCATGCCTTTTCACCTGCACCCATCGCACATCTTGCGGCCCTTAGATGCAGGCTACTGTTTACTACTTAAGCACGCGTGTGATGACGCCGTATCAGCCTTGGCGTGCAACGGTATTTACTACGTTAACGGGAACCATCTCTATTGGCGTTTAGAGAGACCTACTGCAAGACCACCACAGAGCCAGTGTTGCGTGTATGGATTGGACATTTCGCGGTATATGCCACATAATAGATCCAAAAGGTAACTGTACTGCATAGCACTAGCATGTGGGAGCAAAATAGTTACATGTTTTGTGAGGTTTCTTCTCTTCTTAATAGATGTCAGAAGTCTCGCACTCATTGCACGCGTGTTATAAGATTAACTCACTCTCTACACAACATGCAACAAACATACGTGCATGGCTGTGTGTATTTGAAACAGGATACAGTTTTTTGAGGACTTGTTAATTCAAGTATTGTTACTACTTTTTTGTGTTTACCTGCAACGTCTCGCCGAATCAAGCAGCTTGTTCGGTCTACACTGTCACGATAATTGGACGGTGGACTAGTATTCAGGAGGTAGTTACTGGGATGTCCCTGCCATGATACATCTTTGATATGTAAAGTGCCGATCATGTAATGTTTAACTATCTGAAGTGTAATATTACTAAAAGTACATCATCAAACGAGTCTTCAACAACCAGGTCACGACTGACCAACACATTGATAAGATTAATCAAATAAGCCCATTTAGAATCATCACGCTAGAACGCTTGCACAAAATAAAAACAGTCTGAAAATAGAGACTGTGCCAGTTTCCCAGCACTTTACGGCGAGGACCGTCGAGGCCTGAACCTCGTATCGAAACCCTTTTGAGAGACAAACCACGCATTGTGAGTTTTCCACTCAGAATTCGGGCGTCCAAGCTCAATCTGTCAAACACTCCACGTTAGCACAGTCCCAACTGCGAAAAAGAAGGCACGAAAAGAAGAACTTACCTCAAATCTCCTCAAGAAACTTGGGACAAGCTTGTAAATCTCCAAAAGACTAATGTTCTTGCCAATGCACGTCCTAGCTCCAGCACCAAACTGTAGCATGGTTCCCTTCATCTCTTTGAGTTTCTCGGGAGTGGCCTCGAGCCAGCGTTCTGGCCGGAAAGCCTCAACGTCGAGACCAAAGACTTCAGGTCGGCGGTGCACGACCCAGGCGTTGCAACCGACAATTGTGCCGCCGGGAATAAATTCGCCGTTGATTTGCATGCCCTGTGGTGGAACGATGCGCTCGAGGAGGAGGCCGGGGCCAGGGTGGAGACGGAACGATTCTTGGATGACGGCGTCGAGATAAGGGAGTTTCTGGGTTTCAGACCATGAAACGGTCTTGTCGGGGCGCGATTCGATGATGCCGTCGGCGACAGCGGTGTCAAGTTCTCGCATCAGCTTCGCATAGGCATGGGGGTTCTTGATGAGGAAGTAGAAGACGGAGGAGAGGGAAAGGGCGGTAGTTTCCGAGCCGGCAAAGATCATAGATGTGCATGTGGAGAGGATACGGTTGTCGTCCATGAACTCGTGGTCATGACTAGCCTGCGCAAATTTGGAGAGGAGATCGATACCGCGGGGATTTGCTCTCTCATCGTCTGAGAGACCGAAGCGCTTGATCTTCTCCACCTGGTTGGCACGCTCACTGGAGCGTTTCAGGGCAAAAAGCGTTACTGGATGGACGCGCTTGTCCAGGCCGATGCGTTGAGCAAAGAGCAGGATTGGGTTTCTCCAGAGAAAACGGTCGAGGATGGGCATTTGGCCAATCTAAAGAATGTAAGTACAACGATACATGCGGAGGTCTCTATACTAGCAACTTACTGGTGCGACGTAGTCCAAAAATTGACCCAAGAAGCCAATGATGCCGTCCACATCTTTATTGCCCTCAACGAATCCAAGACGCTTGCTCCATGTCAACTCGCCAATGACGTCAAATGCAAAGTACTGGAGCCATTGACTGAAGTTGCAGCTGGCACCAGGATTGGCGAACAGCTGTTCCGTCCTGTCGAGGAAGTATGTAAGCGTCGAGCTTACGAGAGGCTCATAGTTGACAAGCGAACTCATGGCGAAAGCGTTGTTTACGCATCGGCGGTATTTTGCGTGGAAGTCTTCGTCGGTAGTAGAGAAGAGAGATAGTAGAGGTTTGCCTTTGACCACTGCGCCTTGAACGGGATAGAAATCAGACTGAGCAAAATTAGGTACTGTTCCATAAACTCTTTTTTTTGTTTCCGTACCTTGGTGAATCCCTTATTCAGCCCATAGATGGTCTTGATCGCTTTTGGGTCCGCAAAAGACAACACATTTGGCCCTATCCGTACAATATCTCCATGTTTGCGATGCAGCGCAATAATGTTCCAGTGGTGGTTCCGCGTGTATACGTCCAACACCCTCCACCAATTGGTATATCCAGCAAGCCGAGGCCCAGGATATTTGTTTAGTCCTTTCCAGTACTTGTTGTTGAGTAGAAATGCAAGCGTAGTCGTAGCCAGCACTAACGGCCAATATCGCACGAGCAGCGGAAGGATCTCGTTGACAATCATCTTGTGCAATCCAGTATCAGCGGTGATAGGTGCTGTCGATCCAAGGTCCAGGCATTCACGATGTCCGGAACAAGATAGGCAGAGCACTTTATATATGATTTTCGATATACATGCTTGAATATGCAACCGGCAGCTCGCAATCGGACCTGAGCCGTCATTTCCTAATACAAAGCACCCAGGTGCCGCCAGTTTAGTCTAAGTTACGCATTCGGGTGCTTGTGCGCAGTGGTTTGCATCGGCAGTTGACATGTTTGACGTGAGACGGCGGAAGTGGATCGGTGGCTACAATGGCACGGCTGAGAAGGATCGATAGCGCGGGGAGGGAGGATTCCGGGGTTTTCGCGGGTTAGGGGACATTTATCAACACCAAAATGCGTCTACAAAATCGTACGTCAAGTTACATTTTTTTCATGAGCATCTAGTCATTTCAAGGCGCTCACTCTTTCCGCGGCGCAACTAGGGGGCAGCCTATACACAAAACGCCGTGTATTGTCAGAATCTTAACATATTCTCTCATCGTTACTGGAATTTGGCTCACACTGGCACGGTCATGCTGCACGCGCTCTGTGCTATTCTAGAACTGCCGACGTTGGTTGTCTCAACAGCTAAACCTTGTGCGAAGGATAACGAAAGATTGTGGGCCTTGGAAACGTCGGCAGTTGTATCATAATGTCATAATCGCAACTGCCGGTCTCTTCTTTTAGCCGACTAGGCTGCTCAAGAGCCCCGACGCTCCGTGCTGTCGCACGTGACTTTGTACACTCGCAGATTCGAAAATTGATGTCATACTGTATGTACAACGCCACTTGCAAGATAGCAAAAATCGCTGTGCTACGTGGACGATAAGGAGTAGCATTTGCAGCTGATAGGCCTGGTGTCACGTGTGTCCCCAAATCCAGTTCTAGGCGGTCACAAAATGACGAGGCTGACAACTCAGCGTTTGCCAGTTGTCTCTTATCAACTCGGCAAGGTGCTCCAGACAACGAACTGTCATCTCCACAGCAAACTCATTTGGTTACCTGCAACACTACCACACTACACCGTATCATGCCTCAGTATAACAGCCCTCGTCAGGTGCCACAATATGGGTGACAGCTTACAGGTCAAAGCATTTCTGACAGCTTGTTACTCTTGACATTGCATCTTGAGATCCCTTGCACCAATCACACTTGATATATATCACTGCACAGAAGGAACGAATGTCTTTTTATCTATGGACATACGAAACTCGAACAAAAACATTGCAGTCAGCAAGTAGTTATTTAGCAGCGATCCAACGAGCCATCAATAGACATGGTAAGAAGATTTGAGCACTTCTATATTACATGCTTGCATGTGGTTCGGCCCGAAGTGATCTGAGGATTGACACCAGGTCCGCGTATAGTGACCCAGTTTTCTCTCGCACTTGAAGTAATATCCACACCACATCTTCCCAGTCAGCCGAGACCGAAAGTGCACCATCGGAAACAATACTTCCGTACTCTACACTACTGGGCCACATGGGTATACCAAGTTTACATAAACAAAGCCTAGGGATTTCACAGGGCCTGGCTTTCGGCATAACCGCGCCTCGCAGTACACACTGTCTTATCTTCTGGGACTTGAATTTCAGTAGGCCATGCATGGGCTTGTGAAAAAGCAGTATTGATACACAAAACCCTTGACCCCACAAACGATTCTGGGCCTAGATAGACCGGGAACGAGTACGTATGATAAAACATTAACTAGTGGGGGATGAGTGGGAAACATGAGATCGGCGTGAAACAGCAAATGCTACTGTAGCATCTTAACTCCAAAAAAGGAAATCAAAGTGAGGCCGAAGTCTGCATCTCCGTGGGGGCAATATATGGTTTATGATGAGCGTTTTTGTAAAGGGATATGTCAAGAAAGCCGTCACAGGGGCCGTCGCTTGTTTGTGGATGCCATGTCGGTGCTGAAATCCCGAGATGGAATATAAACCGCATGGACGATACTATCAGGAGGTGGAGACAGTCATCTCTTGGAGAAATAGCTTTGAAGATTTAGCTTGCATTTCTTCCAGTAGTTCAGTGTGCGTAATAAGTGTATACAGAACCACTTGTTTGTGGCGTCCCATGGTACGATACGGCAAAACTTCCCGAATGAGAAATGGCTAACGTTTGCTTATTGAGCGCAAGAAGGAGCTCTTTTAGGGGTACGTCAGCGGCGGCTGCGGATGGTCTAGACGCCATAGTGGAGGTCGAGATGCTCCGACTGTGGAGTGGGAGACTAGTCGAAACAGTGAGGAGTCTGGCGAAGCGCCGACAAAGTTCAACAGTTATGCCGTGCATGCAATGTGCTCAAGAAGGTACGCTAGTGCAGGGAACATGGATAAACTGACGAGCGAAGCCACCGATGAAGAGCAAAGGTGACCCTTTTTCAGTGCCTGAGACTCCACCGATCAGCCTTATATGTATACCAGTAAACATGTGTGTGTAGACAAGTGTGACGGTCGAGGGACAGTTTGAGGGGTCAGGGTGCCGACAGCCACTAGGGGCCTATCCGATATCCCCGATCGTGGTGTTCTCAAAGGTGATATGCTAAGATGTGCGGGTGAGGAGTTGGTGTGGTGGATCCCAGAGATGCGGTAGCCCAAGCTCTCCGTCAAAGGATGCTAGGGAGCGGCTGGTGTCCAAGTCCCCCGCCTGCAATCTATCCAGGAAGGGATGGGTAATGGACAGCCACCAACTCGGGGCAGACCCCTTATACAGAGTGTAGTGTGGGTGGCCCATGTTCCGTTCTCTTTCAGTGACATCTGTTTTGAGACAACTATACGCGAGTGCATTAATACCTCGCTGGCAAGGTTGAGCTCAGGGTGTATCGATGTTCCTAAACAAGGCGGGACAAGCCAAGTGTAAGTCGTAGATCTATCCCGCTTACCACTGAGGAAAGTAAGACAGTGGCACTATGCTAAAAGTGAATGTTGGAGACAGGGGCTTGGGCAACTATGGCGGGTGGCCAGGTGCAGCTGGCGTAACGTCAATACGGTGGTGATAGCAACCCGTCTCTAGAGAGAGACCGTTGGGTTGGCAGTCACAATGGCTTGCGGTGCACCTGCATTACTGCCCACCACGACTTGAGGATGGACAAGGGGAAAGCTGGGGGGTATTGGACTAGAGATACAAGGTTGCAGCGCGGGAAAGGATTTGGGGTAGGAGAAGTTTGGTAGCGCTCGAGATGAGAGGGCAGCGCCGCGCAAGTGCGGTCAAAACAAGACGGGCTAGATTATTTTTCTTGTTGCAAGTGCAGGTTTGCTTGCCATGAGTGAGTCATCGGGCTCTGTCACGATAGCTACATGGATGGAGCCCATGGCGGGCGGTGCCCTGCCAGCGTGTAGCGAAACGCGGCCGGATGGAGGAAATGTTTGCATCAACAGTCATAGGATATGACGATTCTGCATCGTGAGCGTCATGTTGTGCGTAGGTGGGTGCGAGGACAGGCCCTGGGTGAGGGACGAGGGACAGGCAATGGATGAGTCGTGGGGGCTCGGAAGGAGAAAGCCGGTTGTGGTCGACTCAGTGGGGCGGCTAGCTTGGCAGAACCCTGTCGAGCTGAAAATGCGTGAGCATGAGCATGAGCATGAGCATGAGCATGAGCATGAGCATGAGCATGAGCATGAGCATGAGCGTCGGGTGTCTAGTGTAGTAGAGTCAGACGGTCGGAACATTGCCGTTGCGACTAGGGAGCACTCTACGCCTAGAGGGGCATACTGGATGCGCATACTACAGCAAAACATCATTGTCCATGTGGGGTAGGCCGCAACGCCGGTCACCTGTGGGTTTTGCCCCCCGGATATTCGTTTGCCTGGGAGGCGCAGTCGACAGGTCTGAAACATGGTACATGTACGGTAGGTTGGGTGCTATCGATAAGACCGTCGCGCTGGGACAGGACAGAGACGACGACTAGGAGCATACTGGTCCATATCGGACATGCCGGGCACTTGCGTAATGCTCCTCACCATGCTTCACTTGATCGCCCTCCCTCTCCAATCGCGCCGACGAGGACGTTACGGACGTCCAGCGACGAAACCCATCTCCTGTGCCCTGCATGCTCCGCTCCGCAGAGAGGCGAACCTTTTCTTTTAGACGGACGGTAGTATGTATGTAGTACATGGGCCGGCTGGTCGGGCAGGGCGAATTATAGCCGGCATTGCCAGTTTTTGCAAGCAAAAAAAAGATACTGTGGAGAAGGGTACCGTCCCATGTGCACTGTACTCGACTGTAAATCTCACACATTACGGTACTTCGGACATGTGCGAGAGCGTCGGCGGTGCCGCCAGCAGTCGACCGTCACCGCCTTGCACCGCCTGCCCTGCCTGCACCGCCGCAACAGCGCATCATGTGCTCCGGCCACATGAGTGAAGTGGCGCACCGCATCACCGCCCGGTCCTGGCCGCATTGCCAGCAGCAGCATCACCGGCAGCAGCAGAAGCATCGTCAGTGCCAGCGTCATGAGGTGCTTAGGGTCGTGCCATGGTTGCCCACGGCCCAAGATGGCATGCAGCCTCTTCCTGCTTCAGCAGCCGCCGGAGCTACTCGACAATGCTACTCTCTGCTCTGCTAAGCTTCTGGGCCGTGTCTGCAAGAGTCGGCGCACATGATCGCGGGTTTCTCGGTAGACTAACCCTGCCTACCCCCCTGTCCGACCCGCTGATTGGGCTGAGTGTTTGCAGCCCATTTTTAGGCTCAAGCAACGTCAACCTGTAGACGGCCCAAGACTACCTCGACTACACCCACTTGCAAGACTCTGCCAGCAACACACCCCTTGACAAGCGCAGAAGCCTTCACCCATCCCTCGCACACCCCGGCCCCCCGAAAAGGGCATCAAAGCCGCTGCGGTCCCCTCTCCATCTGGACGCCCAGGGAAGGCTTCTGGAATCCGTGTCATGTTGCAACACCACATGCTCGACAGTAAGCCCAGTCGCAGGCTTCACTTTTTTTTCTTCGCCAGCTCCGCCAACGGCGTTTAGTCCACCCCGTTCAAGTGCTGGTGCTGGTGCTGCCATTCACGGCCACTTGTTACGGCCGGCCCCCGTGAGCTCTTGTGCGTCTCGTCGAGCCATGGCTTTGCCTGCTTGCTGCGTATGTACATGGCTTCAGCTGCCATGGTCGACGAGCCAGTAATGCTCTCGGCCATACTCGTACACTAACTTTGCTACTTCCACTCGAGAGGCTGATCAAGCGCCTCGTTGCTTCTCATCTCCGACCATGCATGTCAAAATCGTCATTTGCACATTGTGCCCGCCATGAGCAGCCCGTCGCAATCTTCGTCCACGCCTATCCACGTGTGCACAACGCTTTCGCCGTGCCCGTCGGTCAGCTTAGATCCGACTAAACCTGCAGCCTGCATATTTTCGCCATATGCACGTTTAGACAAGCTAAAATGCGCTGCGCAGGCAAACGGGGCAGTGTGCATGAAATCCTTGCCGAGTGTGTGGCCACGCCGAGCGGCCCATGATCGTCGCTTGTAAGCTCTTAAGAGATGGCACCCACCACCACCACTAGCCTTTCTTCACCCTCCGCCTCCCACCTCGCCTTCCCCCCTCCTCATTCGCCCGCTCTTCCCTGTCTCTCCATCTCAATCAAAGGCGCCTCAGCAATCACCACATCCGCCCAGAGACATCTTTTTTCTCTTTACAATCTCTTTTGTTTCTTTCCTTTAAATCGTTTGAATCCGTCCCATCTAATATCGCAATCCGTCTCGCACCTACCACCCTGAAACACACATACCCAAGGCCACTATGCCGATCTCGTTACTACCCGCTTCGGCTGCGGCCTTTGCGCCCCGTTCCAACGTCAACGTTGTTTTGGCCTCAAAAGCCGAGCCATGGTTAACACAAACGTTGAAGAGAGTCAACCGGGTCAAGCGGCCGTTGAACAGCGTACAACAACACACGCGCTGCCTGACCGAGACACTATCCGGCCCAAATGCCATCTGGTCGCTTTGCTCCATCATGGTACCAAAGGCCCCCGACTCGGAACTGCGCAAGGACTCGAACCCGCTCGTCGAGGCCCTGTTCAACTACCAAATCATCCACATTGAGGCCTATGTCGTACACGTCGACATGGTTTCACAACATGAGGTTGCATTCAAGCTTACACAGGAGACCATTGATGCGTTGATTGAGTACCACAAGGACATCTACTCGGTTGATGTCTCCGCCAGCACCTGGGAGTGGGCTGAGAAGGAGCAGCAGTTGAAGAAGCTTCAGGATGGATTTGTCCAGGCCGTAAACCGTTACGTATTCCGCACTGGTGTCAAGGCTCTGGAAGGTCTGGAGGAAGAAGGCGCGGGAGAACTACTCGAGGGACGAGGTGAGGACGTCAAGAGCGCCATCATGGGGTTGTTCCTCCCCCTTCTTCCCCCTCCTCCCAGGATCGTCGATGTCGTCCGACCCGCACCCCTCCTCCCAAGCTCGACTGCCTCAGCCAACTGGTGGGTGCCAACACAACAGATGCATCCGTCGCACTCTGCCCCAGTCGATGCCTGGAGGGTGGTTCCTTCGACCCCCAGCCCTACCATTGCTACCTGCGGTGAAACCGGACCTTCGTTCTGGAGCACCATGGGAACCATGGGCTTCGAGGCCATTCAGCTTCCATCGCCGACTCCTTCCTTCAGCCAGCCATACAACTCGACGAGCCCCTACGCACAAAGTACCAGCCCATATGCGCCAAGCACCAGCCCGTACACATCGAGTTCGTATTACAGCCCGCCCCCGGCATCGGCACCAATCCCAGCCCTTCCTCTGCCCAGTGTCTTGGCCCAGCAATGTGGTTCAAGCGCCGTCCACGGAGGATTCGGTGGTTTTGGATGGGATACTGGATTTGCACCACAGTACGCAGCCTTCACATAATTTGGAAGGCGCTTGTGCTGTGGTACATGTATCTGATCTCTGTCGATGGCGGGAACCGCGGACCGGCCAGTCCCCCAGATTTTCCCTTCATACGCTGGTTGCCAGTGCACCAACCTTGCGACACCCGACACGAGACGAAAGCAATATTCATGACATGATGCTAAACAAGCAGACATCATTACCAAACCAGCATGGGACGGCGTTTTTCATCGATTTTTAGCGAGCGTCATTTTCTCCTCTCTTCTCGTACATGTTCTCTTTTGATACCTGATTTTCTTGATTTGTCGAGTGCTTTTCTCCTTTTTTTTAGCGAGCGATTTCTCTTTTGTTTCTTCATTGCACAACACGGCCGGACCAGGTCTTTTCTTTACTGAATACAGCATCTCTGGGAGGTATGCATGTCGGGCATTTTAACGGAAGACGGTAAACACAGCCTCACGGCTCACGAGGTCAGGCACACTCGCATTGTTTTTTTGTTTTCTTGTTTTTAATGTCGTTTTCCTCCTGGACGGGCGCGCCATCTCTTCGTTGAGCCAGTGGCATGCCATGACTCTTACGATTTGACGCGATCAACGTTCACGAACCTGCCTACTCGGACTGGCATTGAGTGTCAGCTGGACATGCCGAGGGGCGACGACAAAAGTTATACATGCATCTGCGATGCCGCTGTAATAGCTCGTCTCTGTTTGCTAAAGGGAGACTGGGTCGGAAATGGGGAAGCAGTTGGGCAGGGGTCGAGACAGGAGTACGTCTGTGGCGTCACTGACTCTAGGGAAGTGGTCCTCTGCTTGCGGAGCAAACGCTTTCTGATGTACCCTTTGCACTTTTGCTGATCTCAACCGACGCGGGAACCTGGATGTACAGAGACTTGTGGGGTTCATCTCCTACGCTCCAAGGCCAGTCTTTGGAGAAAGCACGCTGCCTGGTTGATCTGGGCGGGTGTGAAACAGATGCTGGACAGAAGCAAGCTTCTCACTTAGCCTTCTCTACCTAATTACAAAAAAAAACGAACCTTGAAATCCAATACAAAAAAAGATTCTTCAGATACAAAGTTTGCCCATGACATGTGCTAAGAGCAGCAAGTGAAGTTGAAAAAGAGTCAAGAGGCGAGGATTGTCGATCATGTCGTGACCAGGGCTTCGGGTCAACGGCCCCAGGGCGATGGCTGTGCCGCAATGAAGGATTGGGCCGATGAGTGGTGCCAGACGGTAGGTTATCGGGCGGGAGTGGTGCTACGGTCGCGATGAGGCCGAGAGCAAGGCGAGGATTGCTTTTGCGACCCGTCGCAGCCAGCACGCCTCTAGCCTGTTGTCTGACGGCCGTGGTCTCCTCTTGGGACACATGAGTTCCGCCGGGGCCACGCCTCTCTTAATGTCGAAACGTCGTGTCTGCATTCCACAGCCCCGTCGCGCAATGCCCGCCGCGCCCGCTTCGTCATAATGCCGCCCGCCAATTCGCCTGTAAGCATGCCCGTGTGTCCGCGACACGGCCGATGTGACCGACACTGCACATCACGACACGAGCGTGGATGACGGACTGACTGACGGAACGCCCACTATATAGGACCCCGAACCCACCTTCATCTCGGCCCTGCGCGACCTCGAGAGCCCTGTCAACGACGACGTCCTTAATCTTGCCGCAACACTGGGCACCCAGCCTGGCGACGACGGTGACGGCGACGGTGACGACACCGGCGACAACCATCACGACAACGCCAATCCCATCCACGACGCCGACGCCCTGGAACGCGCCCACCTGCACTATCTGCGCGTCGCCCACGAGCACGACCAGGTGCGTCTCGAACGGTCTCGCGAGCGTCTGCGCCTGCTGGAGCGGCAACGAGACGAGTTGGAGCAGCGGGACAGGCTGCGGCGAGTGATGAGTCGCCTCAGCCGGTTGAGCGACAACAACTATGGCGACCGTGTCCCTAGCCAGAACAGCCTGTACGACTGGTCGCCTGCAAATGAGGCCACCGCCACCGAGAGCTCCCTCCGCTCCACAGCCATTCTGCAGTCAGCCGGCGTGCGCAGACACCCACGCTTCTCTGCCCGCACCAGGGAAGCCGCTTCCACAGAGGCCCCATCACGCCATACCTCGCACCGTACTCTCAGGGAGATGCTTGCCGCCAGAGCCAGCCTGCACAGCGATTCAATCGAGCGACACCGCGAAGCCACCGCCCGCCATATGTCCATGCAGCGACTATCAGACGGCCGCTCGTCGCCCATGCTCGAGCAGACGGTCAAGTACCTGTCGCGGATACGCCACTCGAGCAACCCCGACGAGAGCCTGGAATATGCCCGAGACGCCGGCTTCCTGACGAAGGACTACTTTTGCCTGCAGCACGCCGACTTTGTTGCCGATACTTTTACAATACCGCGTCCGACCGAGACGTCCTGGCTGGTCCCCGGCGCCGTCTTATCGGGCTGCCAACATGCAACCACCATGCCCCCTAGCGTTTCTGTCACATCCCGGCACTCTGGGCTCCCTCCACCTATCCGCCCGTGGATATGGACTCCGTCCGAAGCGTCTACGAGCCGCAGCTCACATTCATCCGAAACACAGCCCCAGCAAGACCAGTGGCCTGTCAAGGTCACAATACATGACGTCGATTGGGACGCCATGTCCCTCTCCGCAACTATGGAGGCATACAACGTGCCCTCGCACCCACACCCGCATTCGCATTCCATCCTCCCCACCAACGGTAGTGCGCCACCCGTCACGCGCACATCCTCCATCACCACATATCTCGAAGGCGAAATCCTCGACTTCAACAACCATACCCTCCTCACCGAATCCTTCAAATCCAGCGCTGCAAACGACGCAACCTACTGGCGCAAGCTGCCGCCTTTCCAAAAGATGAGCGACGAAGACGTCATCAGGGCATTGACGAGCAAGAAATGGCTTGCCGAAGTCCTGAGCCAGGAATGGATACTGATGCGTTGGAAGGAACGTTGTTTTGTCAAAAGTCTGAATCGCAGTACACCGAATTTCGTAGTAACACCCCCTTCTACAACCACACCTTCCTTCTCAGATGGCTCAGCATCAAATTCCTGGTCTACTACTGCCCACATCTCTCAAGTCCAGCCCTCGCCCTACCGCATCGTGCGTAATGCACAAACCGGTCGCCCCGAGGTCGAAATTACCCCCCAACCACTCTTCAACTCTTCACCCACCAACGATACCGAACACGCTACCTTTGACGATTCAGGTTGCGGTCTTACTATAAGCGGATTTTACTACGTTGCTCTGGATCGGATGAATGGTAAACTGGAAGGATTGTATTATGATCCACAGAGTAGCCCGTATCAGTGTTTGAAATTGGATAGCGTGAAGGGTGGGTTGAGGAGTGCGTGGGGGTTCAGGTAGTGAGGGCAAATGCTTAAGTATGAGTGCTATACAAGGTAGGAGTCTGTTTGGCGCAAGTGAGGATGTGCTTTAAAATGGTATCATCCCTATTTTTTGCATTGCCTTGGGAGTTTTGGAGTCTTTGGAGAATCTCAGGATTGGGATGGAGAATACGCTGTCATGGCACCATGGCTCCTCGAGGCTTATCATTTCTTTGTTCATTTCCTTGATTGGATCCGAAGGAAAAGGGAAACATGGCAAATACCACCTGCAATTTACATATATCTTATGAAGTACATCAAGTTACTAGTTTACTCTTATGTCAAAACAGACTTGCATATGATGAGTCCTTGGATAGCCTCGAGTACCCTTCATTACCCAACACTAGCCTTGAGTGCTGCCAGTCACACATACATACACGCTGTATACGCGATATGACATAGCCAATAAGAGAAGTATTGGGGGCTAGTTCGCTGCCCCGCTTTTCCTGCATGTACCAGAAAGAGTCACTGTACGCCTAATATGTATAAAAAGAGTTTGACGAACCACAAACTTTGCATGTCAAATACACGAAAGGGAGGTCTTTTCTGAACCATAGAGCTCGTCCAGGCATTTCTAATGCAACTACATCACAAGATCGAAAAGTAAAAGAAAGGAACCATAAGACCAAAAATACCAACCAAAACACCAAACCCAACCATGTCTTCTCCCTCTTACCCCAAAACAGCCGTCAACAAACTCGGCCGTCTGCCAAATAGAGGTTAGTCATCCTCATTCTTCTCCTCTATTTCCCCCTAATCCAAAAAGTCCCCGATACATAAAAAAATTCCCAGGCACCTACGACTACCAAACCATCCACACCCTCATAAACCGCACGCCCATCCTTCACGTCTCCTTCACCGACCCCGCCCACCCCTTCCCCGTCGTCCTCCCTATGCTCGGATGTACAGGAAACTACTCATCCCCCAACGATTCCCCTGCCCAAGATGTCTACCTTCACGGCTACATTTCCGGCCGCCTCTTCAAACAATCCGCTGGATCCCCCCAGCAGCAAAACCAACAAGAAAAAAACGAGGAAGGCCTCCCAGTTACCATTGCCGCATCGAATCTCGACGGTCTAGTCTTGAGTCTCACCCCGTTCCACAATTCGTGCAATTATCGGTCTGCGGTTGTGTATGGGTATGCGAGTCTTGTCGAGGATGAAGACGAGGCCATGTGGGCTATGCGGGAGATTACCGAGAACATGCTGCCTGGGAGGTGGGAGGGGAGTCGGGTGCCGCCGACCAAGGCGGAGGTGAATAGTACGGGGGTGATTAGGGTGAGGGTTGTTTCGGTAAGTACTTCTACATCTCCTTTTCTGCGCTTCTTTGGCTTTCTCTGAAAAGCGACAAGGGGAAGAGAAATGCTAATGCGGAGGTTAGGCTTCGGCGAAGATTAGGACGGGGGGACCGAGTGAGGATCGTGCGGATTTGAAGAATGCGGAGCTGGTGAAGAAGACGTGGACGGGGGTTGTGCCGTATTGGGGGTCGTGGGGGGAGCCGGTGCCGGGTAAGGAGAATGGGTGCGAGGAGGTTGAGGAGTATATTGAGAGGTGGAGAGTGGTTGAGAATAATAGGGGGAGGCAAGAGGCGTTTGATGCGACGACGGAGAAGTAAATGGGAAGGGAATGGATGCATGGCAGGGGTTTTTGGGTTTGGGATAGGTTGTTTGTGTTTAAGTTTAGTATTCTCTTCTCATGTATGCACCCCGGAAAACACAGAAAGCGGTATATGACCAAATGAAATAACATGAAATTTTACAACCAAAATCACTCAGCCCTCCTCTTTTGCATACCCACCTTTCTCTTGCCCAGCACATCCCTCCCTTCTTCAATACTCAACATGGCCTCCCTCTTCTTCTCCGTTACCGGCTTCAACGCATCTCTAACAACTCTGCCCTCAATACTTACACCCTCCTCTTCGAACTCTTCCATCTTCTTGCCCACCCGCGCTTCAATCGCGAACACAAGCTCCACATCTCTTTGTCCAATCAACGTAATGGCCGTACCCACACGACCCGCACGCGCCGTACGTCCAACACGATGGATGTAGTCGTCTGGATCACGTGGCACGTCAAAATTGATGACAAGCGCTACCTCTGGGATATCGAGACCACGGGCAGCGACATCGGTGGCTACCAGGATACGAGCTGCTTGGGCACGGAATCGCGCTAGATTGTTCACACGATCGGATTGCTTGAGTCCCGAGTGCAGGGCCGTGACGCGGTGGTCAAGCAGGCGCAGCATGTATTCGAGCAAAGTAGCAGTCTTAGTCCGATTGCAGAAGATGATGACACTTTTCTCGCTGTTGACTGGCGTATTGAGAAGCACATGGAGGTAGCATTCCTTGTGCGTGACGGGCGTTTGGAGATACCGTTGCTGGAGACGCGGGGGAATTGCTAGATCCTCTGTGTCTACTTCTGATACGAAAATCGGTAGTCTGCCCGGAGCACGCGGTTGATCTTTGAGAGCCAGAACTTCTGGTGTTACGGTTGCAGTGAATAAGAGCGTTTGTCGGGTTTCTTTGGGTGGAAGCACGGATAAACATGTTTCGAGATCGGGTAGCATGGAGCCTTTTCCTGGGGCAAGCAGACGATCGGCTTCATCAAAGACAACGAACCGCACACGCCGCAACCCGCAGATGGTGTCTTCACCCGAGGTTCTGATGTGCTCTGCGAGTCGACCTGGTGTTGCAATCACGACATGGGGGCGCGAGGCAAGTTCAATAGCTTGAGCGCGTTGGTCTGAGCCTCCTGTAATCAAGATTGGCTTCATGGACTGAGGGGCCGATATGGCCTTGACTTGCTCATAGATCTGAATCGCAAGTTCGCGTGTGGGTCTAAATGGCCGTTAGCATAATGCTATAGCTGATTTGTTTGATGCCACTCTTGTCGCATCACAACATGGCAAGGCAAAACTCACGTGATGATGACCGCAAAGATTCCGCTCGGATCCTCTGCCCATTTTTGCAGAATGGGCACTGAAAACGCGATGGTTTTACCAGTACCGGTTCTTGAGCCTCCTATACAGTCTTTTCCCTTCAAGATCTCGGGGATACAAGACGCTTGAATCCCCGTTGGTCGCTTGATCGCCATGCTGGCGAGCGAGGCAACGAGCCATGGCGCTACATTGAGTGAAGCAAAACTGAGCTTTTGGTTGACCGCAGGAACATCGGCAGCTTGAGAAGGCGTTTTGTTACTTTGCGCGCCATTGGCCCTCGCTTTGACGCGCGAAATGGTTGTTGGTGCTACTTGGAGTGGCTTCGGGGCAGGTTGAGCTTTAGTCTCCGAAGCAGAACTTTCACTGCAATCGGCAGGCGAAAGTCTCCTCCTTTTTCTCGCCCCAGACTGGGCCTCCAATATCTCTTGATCGGACGCACCGGAATCGCTGTAGTCGCTAGTCGTCATATTGTGGTTGTTGGTTGTTTTCCGAAGCTTAATCTTCGACTTGGCTTCTGAGATTTTGTGCAGGGATATCTCACGCTAATCTTATCGATAACGCTACGTGAAACTGAATTAGGACCAACCATTGCGAATCGTACTATCACATTGCTGCATGATTGAAGATGTGATCTTTGACCAGAGGTCGCGAATTCCACGAATAAACTTTGAACAAGGATCTAACCGAAAGAATATATGTATACGCCCAGATATGCATCCGCATCACGCCTAGCTCGGGATCACGACAGTTTCAGTTCAGTCCATCTACAATCCCTAGGCGAATCATTTGCCATCTCTCCTGTACCTGCAGCAACTCTCTCCACATAGGCAGGATTTGTCCAATCCAGCCCAGTACTTGTCGCCATAGTCCAATGTGATTTCTGAACCAGCTTCAACTCCCTTACTGACAAGTACCACCCTTTGGGTATCCAGCCAGGTAAATGTCGAGGACTGCACATTAGGCTTGCAGCTATGATTGATAAAGCGCGTATAGTTTCCCACTCTTCCTTGCCAGATTTGGTAGCTAGTCGATTGTGTTGAGCTATCCATCACATCAAGATGCCTCATACCTTTTGTAATCAGGCCAACAAGTTCGCCGATGCCGGTACCGCGATCGAAAGCTGTTAAAGCGACTAGCCCGTTGTTTTTGCCATCCGGAGTGCGGTATACCTGAACAGGCGGCGGCTTGCGTTTTACACATCCAAACAGCAATGGGAAGCAGAAACAAGAGTTTTCCTTTGGATCGTCCGATTGGTGCTCGTTGCACAGTGCGCAGACGTACGCACCGCCTGGTCTTGCGATGACGTTCGTTTGTGGCGTCCACCTTGGATCTTCACATCCCCAGACCGATTCATCGATTACGGATTCGTCAATTTGTTCGAACGAAAAGTATGGGTCTTGGGTCAGATATGTCTGGCGTAAAGGTATTGGATCGGACCCGTCTTCGAACACGACCCATTCGTGCGGATGTCCAGGGTACTGAAGGGTTGGTGACTCGCCCACAATTGCTAGCAACTGCCGCCAGTGGGGATGAAGAGTATCGGCTGCTACTTCCAGTCGCTTTCGCAGATTTCTAAGACGTCGCATAGCGTCGTTGTCGAATCCGACGCGGTACTTGCAGAAACGGTAGATACCCATACCGGCAAACACAAGTGCTGCCCAGCCTGCGGCATCCTTCACTTCTTTGTAACCTCTCCAGATTGCCATCTTGTTTCGCAATTCCTTTCTGCAGCAGCATCGTCAGCGATCGTCATCAAAGCTGTTCACCTCAGTAACATCTTGCACTTACTCGGACCAGGCAAAATCTTGACATGCCTCCATGAAAACGGCCTTTCTATGTTTCGTCGTCGATAGCTCTGGTCTCGTTTGACTACGATATTGCACCTGCTCTTCAAAGAGTTCAGTCCACCGGGCTTGTACAATCATCTCAATCGACCGGCATACGCGGCTTGCTTGTGTAACCTTGCGACAAAACGTGTTCATTTGACTGAACGAGTTACATACTGTACTTGCTGCGCTATTGAGCACCGTCATCGTGGCAGGTGTGGCGTCTGATTGCGCATGTCGAACAATGTCCATTGATGACCCATTGGGTGCGACTTGAAACTGTTCAAATATTGCTTTCGGATCTAGATTGATAGAGCCATGAACCTGCTCCCAAATACCAATGATAAGTTTGTCTAGCGTAGAAGGTTGAAAGACGAATTTATCCGAGGCGACCTTGAACTGTCAGTATATTTGATCTGCAGGTGGCTTCGCTGGCAACATTGAATAGTCACCTGACAAGTTTGAACCAGGCGATCAACAGCCGGCCTTCTATTCGAGAAGGTCCCACAAACATCGAGCTTTGGTAACATGCACGTACTCTTTTTCTTTTCGGGAAACTTCGGCTATCAATTTGCATTTGCCGCTGATGTTCGCTAAGATCTTCCTGGAATGAAGACTGCTTTTGAGATACTCTTAACCCGCCGGTACCTTTCCTGCGGTTTTCCTGCTGCTGCTCCCTCGATGGGTAAGGACTTTCCTGAAAATGAGGTTCATCGCTTGGTGAGGTTTCGTCACACTCTCGATCATCTACTGCCGGACTTTGTGTAGGGGCAGGGGTTCTCATGCCCGTCAAATCTACTGTTTGCTGTATGTGTGTCAGAATGCGCCACTTCATGTGGGAGTTGCGATAGTAGTAGATGACCCAACATACCGATGCTATCCTCTCGGATCGCGCTCTTGCTCCATTGTCGTTGCCAGCTTCCTCGAGGAAAGCCTCAACGCGAAGGATAGGGTGGTTAAGATTATCCAGTTGTGGCCACGCAACATTGATGTTGGACTTGGAGAGGTGCTCTTGTATAGCTCGGCTGATACATTCTGAAAGGCCTTCAACGTCTGGTATCGCAGCCATCTCGTGATTTTTATGGCTATACCTCGCTAACACGAAAGAAGGCTGTCGGAGTATCACCCGCCACTAAGGTCGCTTGGCTAGATGAACAGCATGCAAAAGGTAAGCTGGTATCCACTGCGCCCGAATGCCAGATTCCCGTCGTACAGGTACCTCGGAGGAACGACGGGAGACCCCGATGGAATCGCTGCGGTGGCGAGACGCGCGGGAAACGCCCAATAGGCGAGAGAGAGACTGCTGTGGCTCAGGTGAGGTTTCGTGCTGCTCAGCAACACCTTGGTCAATTAATCCATACACGCTCAATGACGTTGTGACATGGGGAGAGCGGGCTGGGCAGAACCGATAAGGTTGTAGATGGAAATTCTGCTCGAGCAGCAGAAGCTGGGGGGAGCGGAAACGCTTTGGAGGCTATGTGCATCAAGCTTGGCTTCGGTCGTGCTCTCGGTCCACTCTGCGTCATCCGAACAGTTGTAGGGGTCCTCTTGCGCCAACTTTTTTGCGCCCAAAACATGTCAGATACTATGTAGGAGGATGTCGGAAGCTTAGTTTTACTCACAAAAGATTATCGAAAATCCATTCTGCCCGGTTGAATAGTCGTATTTGCTGCTCAATGCTGCCCGGGCAGTCGAGCTGCTCTCAGGTCCCCTGTTTTAGCCAGCATAAAAGTGGGGACCAAATGTCGAACTACTGTGACGTGCTCGTCTGCTTATCGGCAAACGTCATCAAACCACAATATTTTTGGTACTAAGAAATGTTTAATCATAGAACATTTGACATAGGAAACAA